TTCAGACCCTTTTACGTACGTTTTGTGCTGCACAAAGATTCAATCAGTTTGATTTTGGCCATTTCAAGTATGGGTTATCATTCATTGCGTGACAGTGTACATGGCATCCTTTTTTCGTTTGTTTGTCATTTGGAAGGAAATTTCACATAATACTTCATGGATTTTGAAAAAGATTTGAACCTCAGCATTATTTCACAAAAGAAAAGCTATATATCGACACAGTTATAGATTGACTAATTCGAAGGTTTCCCCACGCCTTTTAAACACACTGGCTCGCATTGAACGGTGAGAGCGCTATACACCTTCGAATTAGTCAATCTATATATATAACTGTGTCGATATATAGCTTTTCTTTTGTGAGATAATGCTGAGGTTCAAATCTTTTTCAAAATCCATGAAGTATATGTAAAATTTCCTCCCAAATGACAAACATACGAAAAAGGGATGCCATGTACACTGCCACGCAATGAATGATAAGGGCATTATAGTAAATGTACGTTATTCGCTGTTTTCCTCCAAATATAATGTCTGTACTTGGTTTTTCGATGTTGTGTCTGACTGAGGATATACTGTCATCATCATCTAGTTATCATGTATACTTACATTCAACATCAATGGACCCCTTGTACTTCCCGACAAGCACGCTTCTCCGTCGAGATCGGTTTCATCTTCCTCGTCGACACTACTTGAACTACTTGATCTATCAAAGCAACCTAGAGTATGCATCTCCGTGTCGTTACTTCGGGGATTGCTTGAAAATGCAACCACCGTCCCCGGGACTGAGCCACTGATAGCTTGGTATTTGTGCATATTCAAAACAACTGTAAAGAAACATGAAATTAACTTTAGATTCAGTTTTTCGCATTAGGGATTATTCTTTGTTGATTAAAGAGTGTATTTCATTGAGTTACTTTATATGCTCCAGTGACAAAGCCAATCATCATAATCTGCACTGTCAATATCACTATCATCAAAATTGGTATCTTTAATCCGTTCTGCTTAATACATGAGTTTTGTCTGGGGCTGTCGTATTATCAAGCAATCTGCTTACAATGACAGTCCTTCGTCCGCAAATAATTTTATAATGTTTGAGGAAATTTAGTAGTTGATGACAGTTTATAATTTAGTTTTTTGAAAATAACAATAAATTGATATATATATTTGCTTATTTATGATCTATTGTCAGAAAAATACTTATCGTCCTTTATATATTATTAATGTTATAAATCGAAAATGTGTACTTACATGAATGCAGAAAAAAATCAAATCAAATAAAAATGTACTCCTGGGTCTCGTCTTATAAAGAGCAACTTATTTGCGATTGGAATAAATCGCAACTATAAGCATAAGGACCCTGCAAACTTGCGATTGATTTGAGGACTTCCGATTGATTTGGATCAATCGAAACTCTTTATAAAACGGGGGCCCGGATTTGGGGACATTGGGGTAATGTAATTCTTTGTTTGGTCTGTAGTCGCGATCTGGTGCCGCGGTCTTGTTGGAGTGAGTTAATAAGGTTTATAAGATGATGACGTGGACCCTAATCAAATGATTGGTTGAAAGCGTACTTGTGACCAGGCATTTATTTTGCCTTACGCGTAATTTGGATGATGACCGGTCATTATCAAAATCATGTTATAAAACATCATTTTATAAAACAAATAAAACGTAATCTTATAAAACAAATAATACACAGCATTTCGTTCAGGCATTAGTAAAATTACCCACACTCGGTACCTTAAAAACAGACCAAACACCTTCGGCTATCGCCTCGGGCGATGATATTTTCTTTAATTTTCTATGGCGAGGTAAAGACAAAATAAAAAGAAGCACGTTGTATTTTGACTACAAGCAAGTAGGGTTGAAAATGCTTAACTTTCATTTGTTTGTGAATGTACAAAAGGTACAAAAGGGGTAATGAGATACACTTTTAAGTAATTTTGGTAATTTTTTGTAATTTTATTTTACAGTGGTATGCCTACTGGTGTTATCAATATTGATTCTGACTTTTAAAGAGGGTAAAGCCAATCTTGAGCTCTGATATGGGAATCGTATTTTTGAGAGAAAATTGCTATGATTGTTCCCCCCCCCCCCCACTCAGTGTTATTTAGGGTACGCATATGCGTGTTCCATGCGTGTTCCCTCCTTTTGAAAACACCCCCTAAGTCCGGTGTGTAAAGTCAATTTTGTGTATGTAAGAGCCGGACTTTGGTGCGTGAAAAGTACCCCTTAATTTACCGAACATTTTGGTAACACGCATGCGGTCATTCCGACCCCGGAGTGGGGGGGGGGGGGGGGGGCGGGGATTGTTTATCCTGCAGTCGATTGGTTTTTTGAACCAGTCAAATAAAAAATTACTGGACATCATCTCCGATAAAAACCACCACTCCCATTTTAAACTAGTCACTATTTTATGGTGTCGGGCCTACTTACCCGGATTTCTTTATCTTTCTATGCTCAGCCACTATACATTTTCTACCAAAATTGTTTAGCACGTACATTCAGTGTAATTTTCGTTGAATTTTATGAGAATTATTTTCAATTTTTACCCGAGCTCGAGGTTATCTTTAATACACTCTATTAACACCAGACCGAACAATGTATTACATAACCCGTCATGGCCAGGAATCGGGCTATAATGGAGTCGAAGTGGAGTTCGTTTGGTGGGTGTGACCAGGCGCGTATTTTTGTGTGTGTAAAACCCCCTAAAAACCCACTAAACCCCCCCCCCTTCTTTGTTTGTTTGTTTTGTTTTTTTAATTATTAAAACAAAAAAACAAAAAAGTTATGCCCATGACTGACCTAAAAAAGGTGACCTTACCCCCCCCCCCCCCCCCCACCGAAGAAAAATGTCAAATTTTCAAATTTCGAGAAAAAAAAAGTGTCCTCTTACCCCCCCCCCCCCCCCCCGCTTATTCAGCGACTGGCTGAGTCGTTGCGATTTTTTTGGGTCCACAAAAAAAAAAAGTGTCCTCTTACCCCCCCCCCCCCCCCCCCCCCCGCTTATTCAGCGGCTGACTGAGTTGTTGCGATTTTTTTTTTAGACAAAAAAAAAAAGAAAAAAAAAAGTCCTCTTATCCCCCCCCCCCCCCGCTTATTCAGCGGCTGGCTGAGTCGTTGCGAAATTTTCGGCCCGATTTCAAAATTTTAAACCCCCCCCCCCCCCCCTTGAAAAAAAATCCTGCGACGCCAGTGGGTGTGACTGAGGTGTTAACCCGAAACTAATCATAATGGGCTAGTATTCGAAGAACTCACAATCATCTATGGTGAATTTAGGCTCTAGAGCTCCAGGTTTTACGAAGAATCCCAAGTAGCGATCTCTGCTTGTACTTTGTCCTGACACCAGGCGAATCTTTTCAGACCCATCATAATGGAACTGGAGAGTAGAATACCAAGACCTGGTTAAGGTTCGGCGGGCCCATGGCGGCAAGGCCTCATAGACTCGCTCTGCGTTGTTGATATCGGGTCCGACTGGTCGCTTCTTCCGTTTGTCGACAATGGGTTCCCGTCCTGTTAAAGATAAATGGGAAAGTTAGTGTTAAAGCCCCACTGTACTACTTATAGCTACTTGCGCCCTCTATATAGCAAACAATGCCTAATCGGTGCCTGTTGGTCCCCCATGATCCCCTTATTCTTATGTTAATTGAGAGCTGATTTGATGAGATAACCACCTGTCAGTGACCCTGAAGGGAGGTCTAACCCCCCCCCCCCCCCCTGGCCAAACTAGTACTGACGGGCTTTAAAAGATTTTTTCTTCTTTTCATCAGAGCACTACAAAACTTTTGTTCTTCTTCTGTTTTCTTCACGTTTGTCAACTTCGGTATATTTGATGCCTTATAATGTACAGTTGCAAAAAAACCTTTGCATTTCAAAGTTTAGAATTGCCTCCACTTTCCCTTTTCTATTTATGACTGACAGTTATATTTCAACGAAAATCATGTTAGCCTTAGTACTAGATAATGACATATATATTGGAAACTGAAGAAGAAAAAAAAGGTTAAATTTATAAAAACTTTGTCAATATGTTTAAAAGATTTACACGGCAAATTCTCCTGTTACGGGGTAACGCATGAAAATATGGGCACAAGATGTACAGAAACGTATTTTTTTACAATGATTATTGTCTTCTCTATGAATGTTTGTCGATTGTTCTCACACGCTCGACTGTTTAGTGCTTTGGGAGTTTCAGAGATGCCATTCGAATGATTGTATCTTCTCATCATTGTTTCAGATTAAATTTCTAGAGAACTCCAATGATGAATTCAGCTTAAAACAGAGACCATTGTTTGCATCTTAATTTCCGACTATGTTGTAAACTTTGCAAAGAAAGGTGACTGTTACAAATAAACTTGCCATCACATTATATAATTATATATACATGTATATGGTTATATATACATATTATAATAGGAATCTTGAATAATAATGAATCTGGTGTCGCCGAAGCCAGTGACCCAGGTTCGATTCCCGGCGGAGACATTTTTCAACCTTCGCAAAAAAAAATCAAAAGGGAGGACAGGAATGGAGAACTTTGATTTTAGATTAAAAAAATATAATTTAATAAACAAAGAAAGAAAGAAATAATACTGATCGACAAGCAGCAGCAAATGGAGATAAAAATAATACAGACTCGACAGAAAGCAGAAATCAGACAATATCAACGAAAGCTAAAGAAACAATGCTATCTATCCGTACCACGAAATTAACTTTTTTCTGAATGTGTCACAGTTGTCTAACATAACTAGGCTATTGGTCTGGATAATAGTTATTCTATACATGGACAGTTGTCCAGGTGATATTTATTTTACACACGTATTACCTGTCTTGCCACCTTCAAAAGATGACATACTTCCTGTACTGTACTTTCTTGTCCTCTTTACAATTATATTTGTATTTGTAAGCGCTATGGTATACTTATTTTTTTTAGCGCTCCTAAATATTCGATATTATTATTATTATTATTATTTGTCTGGATGTGTCACAGTAACCATACATGGCTAGTTGTCCGGATGATAATTATCGTAGGCCTATATCGTCATTATTGTAGTATCAACACGTATTGAATGTCTTTATTACCCTTGACTTTGACATGGAATGCTATCCAGTAGAAGTTAGTCACATCCTCCTGATCACGCTTAATTAGCTGAAGAAGAGGAAGAAAAAAATGTTAGAAAGTACAACTACATGATTTACTAATAGGCCTATATTAATTGAGTAATATGATTTACATGTGTGAACGTAGGATTCATGAACTTGCCAATCATATTTAGTAACATTAATATAATTTGATTTATTGATATGATGGGTCTAAAATATTTGTGTACTTTATATTACTTTGTTTTACAGTGTATTTCATTTAATTATTTGTTTATTAATTTTCATTTATGAATTCATTTATGAATTAATTTACATAATTTTGATACACCTATATTTCCTTATATACTTATTCATTAATTTATTTATCCATTCATCATTTCTGTCAGTATGTATGTGTAAGGGTGTGTGTGTGTGTGTGCGTGTGTTTGTAAAAAGGTATAATGAGCTTTCTTATTGTACTGACTGATATCTCTATCTACAAGAAAACCAACAAATGATTACAGGAAGCCTCACTTAAGTGGTCAAATGGAGCCCCCCCCCCCCTCCCCCTGCACCGTATCAAACTTGTTTCTGAAAGTAGCTGTGTTTTTTTTTCATTGAGGCGGTGTCTTGTGCAAAAGATAATTTGCTGTATAGATTTCATACGAATTGAGACCTGATTTCTCCTCCTCAACATTCACCTCCTTCTTCTTTCCCTTCTTTTTCTTCTTCTTCTTATTATTTTTCTTCTCCTTCTTCTTCCTTTTCTTTTCTTCTCCTTCTTTATCTTCTCCTTCTTTATCTTCTTCTTCTTCTTTTCTCATTTTGCTTCTTCTTCTTCTTTTTCTTCTTCTTTCGCTTCTCCTTCTTTTGCTTCTTCTTCTTCTCCTTCTTCTTTTTTCCTTCTAATTCTTCTTTTGCTTCTTCTTCTCCTTCTTCTTTTCCTTCTTCTTCTTCTTCTTCTTCTTCTTCTTCTTCTTCTTCTTCTTCTTCTTCTCCTTCTTCTTCTTCATCTTCATCTCTGTCTCCTTCTACTTCTTCTCTTAATCTGAGCAGTAATGTTAGCTTTCTAACACGACAGTATGACTTATCGCAGAGGAAGGCATACCAGAGAACATGTTTGTCCATTGTCTCTCAGATACTCGACGAGAGAACTATGACCCACATCCGTCACCTTCATATCGGCAGCATTCACCGCCATGATTACGTCACGGTTTCTACAAGGAGTAAAACAGAGAGAGAGAGAGAGGGAGAGAGAGACGAAAAAAGAATGAATGCCAAGAGTAATTGATCATACTCAGTTGCGGAGTCATGATTCTTTTCTTTAGCAGGTGTTCAGCCCCCAAAAAGCAAGCAAGTTAATGAAATATTAAACATAAATAAAACGAAACACAAAAAAAAGCAAACTTAAAACGAAACAAAATCACATACATAAAAAACGACAATAAGAAGGAAACGAAGGCATGATTTAAATGGTTATCTTGATGTAAGAAACCACATTTCATTCATGAAAATATGTGTCAATCAAATGAAAAAAAGACAGAAAAAGGATTCATACGGAGCCCGGACGCTAAGTTCCCCCCCCCCCCCCCCCACTTGAGAGAGAGAGAGAGAGTACTAATACATGGCCACTATTATCGCCTTTGGCGCAGACAAGGGGCAGGGGGGGGGGGGCAAATCCCCAACTAAATATCCACATAATTATTTAGTTGGAGCATTCAATAATTTATTTGTCGACAATGTGCAAACAAAAATATTTTTGTTTAAAGGTAATACAAAGTTTTGGTATTGGGTCATGAATTTGGTTCAAATGAACACATTAGAAGCATATACGATCCTACAATATTCAGTGATCGTTGTCGCGGTCGAAACCGACTCTAAAGTTTTGAAATTGTAAATAATAAACACTTTATGTTGAATAGCTCCCTCTCAAGGTCAAGATATTAATTAAGCTATAAAACAATGTATATTGACTAAATTCGACCGATTAGCTATTCTCGTTCGGAAATTATATACCACAACTACATACTCTGAGATTTTCATGGTCGCAGCTACCATTGTACGGCCGTAGGAGCTATTTGAAATTTATCAAAATTTACCGGAAGCACCGGTAAATCTTTATATTCAATTTTTCTCGAAAGCAGAAATGTTTTAGGGGCTAAAATTTCTGACGTTTTTAATACATCCACAGGGGCATCCTAATATATCAAAATTGGAAAGAATCACTATCCACCCATTTTTCAAAATTTCCCAAAACTTTAATACTTTTAAGAAGACTAGTATACCCAATACTACTGGAGAACAAGTTGGGTTCGTGGAAGCAAGGTCTCGTTTGTGTTTTCTATTTGTTCTGTTTACTGTTGTTGTTGGTTTTGATCACTTTGATCGGGGGTGGGGGCGCTTGCATCTGTGCCCCAGTAAAATGAGGAAGAGAAAGAAAAAGGTTGTTTGTTTTTAAAGGTGGGAAATGGAAAGCCGGCAGAAAGGGAAAGTGAAAAGAAGTCGCTTCGAACCTCTTTCTTACCTTCCCCCTAATAATTTAATGACCTTGTTAATTTGATCAACCGAATAATAATCTGGATGTTTATAGCGCTTAATACAACATACTGTCTCTAAAAAGCACTTAACAGATATTATTATCCTGGTCATCGGATTCATTCACGCATAGTGTGCACTATCTCCATTTCCTGGGGAGTATTCCAACAGTACGGTCACCGTGAGGGCATAATTATGGCAATTTACACTAACTTTCGTCATCCTAACAGGTCCCCATTTCTTTCCTGGGTATGGAGTGGCAAATTTAGATTAATGCCTTACCAATGGATGCTTAGTGCCGTGTCGGGATCGAACCCACGACCTTTGCATTTCAAATCAAGTGATTAAGCCACTGGACTACGACACCTCTATACCGAGTAAGAGCGGTGCCCCACCTGTCCATACCAACCGGTGATCGCTAGTGTATACTGGACTAAATGGCTGTGGCTGTAATATGGAAGGGGGTCCGGTTTTACTTTCTATTGGTATAAACACGACCATCCAGTGGGGAATGGATGGGGTCGTACCATGTTCTTTCCACATCCACTTTCCCCCTCCCATGTTTCCTTATAGTTCCTCCTTGCGACCTTGTTTCACTTGTCATCCCCCATTTTGATTAACCCAGAGGTACTTGTCCCATGCCCCCCCCCCCCGGTCGTACGGTGTTTTCTCCTGTGATCATTATTGCTCCTGATAATTTCCTACACTAGTATGGCCGAATACTTCACTTTAACCCTAAAACCCAATTGCAACACTAAACCTATACCCCATAATAATTTATAACGAAATACGCTCATATAATAATAATTAGCCACTTTGGATATATCACTGATATACAAAATGACTCCCAAATATCCCCAGGTCCTTTAATCATGGAGAAGTCCAACTTTGTGCATTTTAGAATAATCACTGCCAAGGTGACGGAGATGCTTCAAGAATACCTTTTGTTTACCCTCATGAAAAGAATAGTTCCTCCTGGGTATCATTGAATGTACCGCTGCGCCGACGCATAAAGGTATAATGATCTCATAACGTTCCTGAGCACGTATCATGGAGAATTTGAACAATTATATCGTATGAAGAAGTGAGAGAAAAATACTAAAGGGATGAGAATCCATGCTCATGATTCGGACATATCCGGACAATATCATCAGAGGTATACAAAATGCACGTGACATAAAACAATGTTTTGAGACAAACAAAAGAGAAAACAAATCAAGAAGAAAATATATTTTATGTTTCAAATATTATCAAACACACGTTCCCCCTTTTAACTCAAGATTCTCATCCTTAGAAAAATATTTACCTGTCAAATAGGAGACAGGTCTGACAGGAGCAGAATTTAAAGAAACTGTTGCCCTCAGCCTCATTGAAACGAAGAGATGTAAAACGTCCCCATATATGCCCACCACTGATAATATCATTTTAACATTAATGGGAATTTATTCAAAAAATCAAATTAAAAGATACATTTGCATGCACATTTAAAATCTTGCTTTTATTGTCTAAATTGTATTGGTTGTGGCAAACAATATATTGGAGAGACGAGAGAAATTTTAAGGAATAGAATGACAATCCATCGTCAACACGTAAGAGATTTAGAAAATATCAAAAAGGGCGACCAGCTGAAAAAGGGCGAACATCCAAAACCAGCGATATATTCGAAGCAAAGCTGTTTCGATACTGGCTCTCGGGGACGCCGCCCGCCCCGGCGCGCCTCGGGGTCATATCAGGACGTAACGTCCCCTTGATGCCTCTCATAATAGCAGTCGATATATCTATACTATTATTATTATTGTGTGCATGAGAGCACCGTGTAATTTACAGAACCTGAAAGCTTTTGACTTTCCTTCTAGCGGTCCTGAGTTATATCCTTGATCGGTGCTTACACACATGGACAAGGTGTTAACGCACATTCCCTCACGATCTTTATGTGCATTAAAACAATGGGTACCTGATAATATTGTTGGTGTTATTATATTTTCAGGGCCCAAGGGCAGGAAGAGTCGTATAGCCTAGTTTATCAATAATGCATGTGGCTGCCCTGCTTTAAAGCCCCACTGTACTACGTATAGCTACTTCGCTCTCTATACAGCCAACAATGCCCAAGCGGTAGCCGTTGATCCCCCATGATGCCCTTTTTCTTATGTAAATTAAGAGCTGATTTGATGAGACAACCACCTGCCAGTGACCTCGCAGGGAGGTCTATTCCCTTCATTCCAAACTAGTGTAGAGGGGCTTTAATACAACCACAATAAATTGTGATTATTATGATATTATTACAGTAACATATCTTACCTGCATCCAGCCTTCCAAGCTAGTCCGGACCAATCTACCTCCACCACTGAATGGCCACCATCAGGCCCTCCCGAGGTCTCGAGTGAACATCCAAAATCAGTCAGGATCTTCGGACATTTCTTTTGGCACTGAACGAAAAGTCGACTCGATTCATATCGATCACCGCTACAAACCTCTGCGCCCGACATAATATGGCAGACAGATAATGTTGTACGAAAATCAAATTCAAATGATGCACTGACGGAAATTGTAGCTTAAAATCTCACTGATTATTGCTGAATGTGTACTGTTCCTCTTGTTTTCTGAAGATGATCTCGGATTAAATGTGTTGTTGCGTGTGCTACAATCGCCAAATCAGAATACCTTTTTAGATATCAAGCATCTACAAAAATGAGACGGACTATTATGTTATAATGTCTATTTTAAAATGCGTAGTTCTTTATATATGCTCCGATCATGATGCAGTTTCTTTTCAGTTGAGCTTTGAAACCTTTTTCACACTCTATTTCGAAAGAATAATCCGTAGACTTATAATCACCGTAATTATCTACGCATGCGTAACAGCACATTGCACTGCATGGTAAAGAATTATTGAAGTTATATTGGTGGACAGAACAACAGTTGATTTCTTTTCCACTTTCAATAAGTAGCCTGGAAATTAATTACATCTGTACTCAATTAAAGGGAAATCCTCCCTGGTAGAGATGTATATAAACATTCAATCTAGAGGTGCTGATTCAACAATACTTTCAGATTAATACAAAAACGCTTTGTCATTGTCATTTATTTCCGCCTAGATAGAGTAATTGAAGAGAAAGAAAGTCTTTTTGTTTCGATTTCGAAATCAATGAAATTAGACGGTATAAGTATAACAAAAGATATCCCCGTGAACCATCATGTGAAAAAAGTTGCGTGTTAAAAAGTCCGGATATGCTTTATATTTTGTTTCTAGTCGAAATGCAAACCTTTCTTCTGTTTATTTAATTGAAGCTTTATGCTTCATCTTTTGACCATCATTACAATCACTGAAATCCTTCTTCGTAGTTTCTATGTCTTTTTTTCCAGACAATGAAATGTATTTAACAAGTATATTTGGAAAAAGTATTTCAACTTTGTTAATTTTCTCTTTCCTTTTGGTTAGATAATTTGAATTTTCCATTTCTTTATATTAAATGTATTTTAGAAGGAAAAGAAAACTTGTAGGAAAGTGTTAGCAATCAAGGGCACGTTAAAGCTCTTGTTGAGAAAATCCCAATTTTGGTTTGGGCCTTCGTGTTTGTGTCCGACGTCAAATAAACGCCCCCCCCCCCCCCACCTCCTTGTAGATGCAACCTTCGATAACCCTTTTCTGCTGAAATTTTTAGTCAGGTTTTGGCAAGGACACAAAGTTATCTCTTTCATTAATAACATGACCTTATAGACTCGCGTGACATTGTGGAGATTCCTTTCATTTCATTCACGTGGACTTCACATCATCTCTCATGACACACGTTTTAGAGTTGAAACGTTCGTCGCATTTTATTTATCTTTCGATTTGATTCTCATATCAAAGTGAAATTATCAGGTAGGAATTATTTAGGCAGCTTTATTTGAAGAAAAAATGTTACTGGTCACGAGCGATCACTTTCGAATCCCTATGGGTGCCCCTAGACCGCATGATAAATGTCAGGTGTTGCATTGGTGGATGTAAAGGGAAACAGGCGACCCGGTCCCCCTCCTTTCAAAATCATTTAGCCTACATTTAGAACACAACCCTAAAAAGGGCTCCTTTCAAACTTCTCATTCCGTCAGATATATTTAAAAAGTAAATTAGCTCTCAAAATGCCTCTTTTGTTTCTTTGCTTGTCGGATGTTCTCCGGAAACTGTTAAACTTGAAGAAATCCTGGATTCCTCCCTCGATGCCGGATGCTGTATCACGGAAATTTCTAGTTCTACCTAGCTCAAAGTTGGTTTGAGCTAGGTAGAACTAGAAATTTCCGTGATTATTTTTGTTAAAATATGATTTTCTTTATCTGCATGCCGCACTAATGTCGCTAGTATGGAGCTCTCTTAAAGTTGCAGAATGCTTAGTTGTAGATCATCTATAGTAATATATACTTTTTTTTTCCTTCTTCTTTTTAATAATATTAGAGTTATTGTTTTGTTACTTTGTTTAATTGAACTCAAAATCGATCCCAAAATCAAAATTTTGTGCAAACATTATTGAGTGCTCTTCATTTTTCTTATAAAGTTGTTCTTAAACCACCGTGTATAATTCTGCTGCAATAATATAATTGTAACCCAACTTCAATTTTAAATGTAATGTGGAAACTCGACAATTATAAGAATTTGTGTATGCTCATAGGCATTATAGATCAATTTATATGGAATGCTTAAATGGTATATTTTTAATGTAATAATTCCATTCAATATAATTTGACCTTACCTGTCACACAACAGACACACCTGCATGTATACTTTTTCAGTCTATGGATCTCATTTTAACAATTGAAATAAAATAATTCCCTCTCTCTATATAGGCTATATAAACATATTTTTTTTAATAATTTCTTGATTTAAAGATTATGTATACTTGCAATAATTGGTTCAACATTTCAAATTACTGTTATAGGTTTTTAATCCATCTACTATCATTTATTTATATATGTATATAACTTTAGGAATGAACAATAATGTTAACTTTATCTTTTATCATTTTTTTGTACATTTATATGATCATTCCTGTTTTTATGCACATTTTATGTAAACATTGCATTATTGGTCCCTGGACTACTGCATTGTATATTGTATATGTTGATATTAATAAACCGAAATTGAATTGAATTGAAATTTAATTAATGATAACAATTGGGAAAAACTGATCTGATCGATTCCTTAATTCTCTCAACTATAGCATTACAATTTAATTACATTAAAGGTGAATTTAAATCTTCACAAAGCAATGCATTAGCTCTATATACCATTCCAGACATTTAAGTGTTGTAAGATTTTTAAAAGCCTGTCTTATGTCTTATTTTCATGGAAAAACGGTTGGGAAAATTCAAAAATGGTTAGGAGAATTTAATGTTAATTGTACATGTAGCATTGAAGTCACTACCTTAGTACCATTTTTTGTCATCTGAACGATGTTACCAAGTCCCTTTAAAGGGATCGGGTAACTTTGTCTCAGATTCTGAAACAAAATCTTGGATTTAGCTCACGCTGCAATGATAATTATAAACCTTTAGGTCAGTCAGGAACCCATGAATTGTATAATCCGATCGCCTGTCTAATTATCAAATATTTATGAATAGAAATCAAAATTTTAAAAATCGTTTTCCTAACACTTTTTATAACACTACAGTCTAATGGGGGAAATGAGTATGGTAAAACCGGTCACTCAAAGATTTTTACTTTTTGAGGCGCTTCATGATCATTTTGAAGCGCAATTTTTTAGGGCTTCAATATTACACCATATCACAGAGTGAAACTGATAACACGTCAGGGGCATGCATCTAAGATTTAACATGGTGAAACGATGCCTTTAAGGGCAACACAACCAGCCCATTTCCCCCTGTTTAAACGCAAACTATAGCTTTCATACTGCAAAAAAAAAAAAAAAAAAAAAAAATCATCACCCCCGGCCCCCCCCCTCTTTCCACCTCCTCATTTCTAACCATTCTGGATCCGCCCCTGAAACTACGGAGTAATTCGAGTCGCATCTGTTAAGTTACTTTTGTCGGAAATGATCACAAGTCATGGTTATGTTTATCAAGTTCAGTGACACACAGAGACGCAGAGACAGTGTGGGCGGAATATTTATTTTGTTATATCTATAAAAAAAAAAATTGTGTCTTCATAAAGAAGGAAATAATTAAAAAGAAAAAACACTGGTATGGGATCATAAAACACGTGTTTTTTGGCCGGAATTAAAGTGTAGGATGTCAGTGAAAGTCTGATAATGTTGTAACCACGTGGGCCAGGATAGAATTCCGTTCACACGCTCATGGAAAACTTTGGGAATGATGCTTTCGATACGAGTGATTATGATGTAATACATAATAATAATACGAATTTTAGTCAGTGTTAGTATTTGTGTTTTAAAGGGCGTGGCAGGGATTTGCACGGTTAAAATCTCAAAATCAAAATATTTATTATTAGCAAAAATACATTAATTGTTCTTTTCAAATTAAATTCTGCAGCTGGTAATGTTTATTCACCTCATTTATTGTGTACAAAATGAGGGCTTCAATCTTCACTCAAAAAGAGAAAACCATGCACAACGTCATCTGATCTGAAATTGTCTACATACCTTCATCAACACATCTTGTTGCTATAAATACATTTTGAGATAAGTTTGTGAGACCTTGCATGCTAATCCCTGATAGAGGCTTTAACAATTAAAGATTATATTATTCTTGTCTTATATTTTAGAAAATACTCTATCGGTATTGGGTTTTTTCATATAGTGTCAGTCCGTTCATACAATTTCAAATAATCATACACAAACACACACTTTTTTTCTTTTTGTTATGGTATTTTTTTTGTATTCCTCCAAATGTTATACAAACAAGAACATATACAATTGAATAAAATAAATAAGCGTTTTCAATATTAATTGTTTATACATAAACATGGTTTAACAAAAACTCATTTGCAGTATATTATAACTGAGCAACAAAGTAAACTTAAAGGACATAAACATAAAGTATAAGACAATAATATTGTACATGTTATTCACTCTATAGATTAAAAAATATTTAACTAATATGGAGGTTATTTTACTGGTAGGAAAAAAGTCCTACTCTTCCCCGCTCCCCCTACCTCTCACAAACATACCCACCCACACACGGACGCACGGACACACACACGCACACGCACGCCGATACACGAAAACCTTCTCTCTCTCTCTCTCTCTCTCTCTCTTTCTTGTACGTCTTTCTTTCTGTTGTTATCTCTCCTTCCTTCCACTCTCTCCATTCTCCATTCTTCTCTCCCTTCTCTCTCTCTGTCTCAGCTCTCACTCCCTCTCCCCTATCTATCCTACTTCCTCTTTTATGACATTTGGTTATTGACAACTAGATCCTACATAATGCAGTGCAGGGGCAAATTATTTTTTTTTTAATTTTTTTTTTTTTTTTTTTTTGGGGGGGGGGGGTTACGCACCGGGTAATATTCTTTGGGAAGTCCTGGACCCCGTAACACAAAGGTTTGCAATCAATTGTAACTAAAATGACAATGGCCAATCAGGACCGTCGTTGTCTGCACATATTGTTCAAAAGGCTGACCATCAACCAGTAAAAAACGCCGATGCAATTGAATGCAAACATTTGTGTTTCTGGGCCCTGTGGTAGTTTTCCTGAGGAAGATTTCCTCGGGGTTATCAAGGATTATTTGGTTCTAACAAACTTTTATTCAACACCTTGATGTTCTTAAAACTCGTTTTCCTATATATTTCACGAAACGTTTTCAATTTCGTTAGTTCTGTTTAAACCATAATCATAATTTATTTCGACAGCATGTTTTTAAATAAAAATGAAACTTGACTGAGCTTCTTCCGAACAAAATCAATAGAGGCATAGACATACTGGGTGATTTGTAGTGAGTTGCCCGATTATGCAATTTTTATCACCTTTTTTAAATATTTATATTACGAAGCAAGGTATCTTTTAAAAAAAATAGAAACTGGAAAGTTGATATCCGGCGTCAGCCCCCTTGTAAATACATTTCCGCAAATGGCTTTCCCCCAGCCCCCCCCCCCATAAAAAAACTGTTAATAAAATAGGATAATAACGTAAATTTAAACTTTTTTTAAAACAAAAAACAAAAGCGGGCACCCCCCCCAAAAAAAAAAAAAAAAAAAAAAAAAATTCGCCCACCCCACCCCCCCAAAAAAAAAAATAGTGGTTTTCCTTTCCATCACCCCCCCCCCCCCGACTGGATGAATCGCTGCTAAATATTTTCTCACGAATTGGCCCCCCCCCCCAACAAAACAAAACAAAACAACAACAAAATGTGCTCCCCCCCCCCCCCCCCCCCCGCTTATTCACCGGCCGGCCAAGTCGGCGCTAAAATTTTCCTCAAAAACTGTACCAAAAAAAATAATATGTGCTCTTACCCCCTCGCCCCCCCCCCCCCCCCCGTTTAATCACCGGCCGGCTGAGTCGGTGCTAAAAAAATTCTCAAGATTTGGGCTCCCACTCTTGTCGCCGGCTGGATCCGCCCCTGAATACAGGAGCCTCCCCTACTTGACAATTGTCATTATATTTGTACAGATGTGTTGTATTCCATAATCTGAATCAATACGAACAGACTAATTTCAACCAAAAGTTCTTTTATCGACAAATCAATCTATTACAACTGACAGATTCGACCATGCATGCGTGCGTCTATGACTGTCATCATATTTATACAGTTGTATTTTGCGCTCATGATAAATTGATATTGACAAATCACTCTTGAATCCAGTTAAATAAGAGAATTCAATGTACATTAATAGTTTAATAAGATCAGACAATACAGACGTACTGAGGGGAGACTAAAAATATATAATCCTGCTTAGTGAGTAACAAATTTAGAGGTATAAAAAATTAACATGTTTTGTCTCTTCGTAATGAATATAATAAATAATGAATTATATGCTCTTAGGATGGGGTAATGAAAGAACCTAAATACAGTAATATTAACATAAAAAATCTGAAAACATCTGAAAACATGGACAAGTTAATACCATAAACAATAAGAGCTTATTTCAAAGTATTAATTCGCTTTTACCAGGCACCTGTGAGCGAATTTAAGCAAGAAAACCAAAGGTTTTTACATTTAATTCGTTTTTAGGGGGTGTCTCAAAGTTTGTCATGTTTGTCTTTTTAACTTAAAATTCGCTTATACAGCACCTCTACAGCGCATGCATACAGCATCTTCTGGAGAAGTACACCTACCTCAGCACCCCTGGCTTCTAGGGTTATGGCTCTTATCACTATGAATGTCGATTTTAAAAAATTATTAAGAGTATATTATTACATCTCTAGTGATTGATGCAACACCAGAGAAATGAAAACTCGCACAGCACTAGCTCAGAAGGCATTCTCTACACACGTTAGGGTACTGGCAGCAAAAAGGATCAATCTAAATCTTAAGAAGAGACTTGTCTGGTTTGGATTGCAGCATTGAATGGCTCCGAAACTTGGACAATCGGGAGAGCTGAGGAAAGGTTGATTGACAGTTTGGAAATGTGGCTGAGGAGAAAATGGAAGGAATTACTTGGAAGGACATGGTCACCAATGAAGAAGTGCTAGAGAGAAGGAAAGAACCATGAACAAAGAAGCTTGAGAGAAACAATCTGGAGACGGAAGAAAAAAATGGATAGGACACGTCTTACACGTCTTACGGGGGAAGAACATGCTCAGGGGTATCTTGGAAGGGAAGATGGATGGTAAACGAAGAAGAGGTGGACCAAGAATAGAAGTGATGTCAGACTTGATAGATGGCAGATAATAATGACATGCAAAATGAAGAAGAAGGCTAAAGATATATAGGTATGGAGAAGGACTATATAGAAGGCTCTGGTGTACGTGTGGACATGCAATTGTCAGAACACCTGAGAGAGATTGTTACATAATTAACTTGCATATATTTTCAGTAAACCTTCATCCCTATAATACAATAAGACAAAGTCTTTGTAATCTCTCGATAGTACATTTGATGGCAAGAAAATTCAAACTACACGTTTTAAAAATTATTAAAATCTAAATGAAAAAATTTCGAAACATTTAAAGGTTTCGAATGATTCTATAACTTAACTTACTATAATAGTACAGTAACAAACAAAAATATAAAGTACGAATGTGCTCTGTACATGTATTACCAATATAATATTGTGTCGCTGTATAATAATGTGAATGGTTTCAGCAATCCCTTTTTAATGATTTTTCTATTTTTTCATGTCACTACTGTTAAAAAGCATGAATGTCCAGAACAAAAAAGCCATTAAGTTAGCCTCATTTTGATGTCTAAGAGCACGATTAATTTTTTAACAAAAGAAGTTAAGTCAGTTTATCTAACGATACCCCACTAATTCCAGAAATGTTTGTACTCTTTCCTAAACGTTCTCTTCTCTTTGATATAACTTGTGTGATGGTATAGATATAGGGATTTAATGCTGAGTTGATTGGGAGTAGCAGGGCCACGACGAAAGCATAAAGAGTGGCAGGCATGTTCCAAGCGTGTACGAGAACGAGGATGAACATGACTACGATAGGAAACCAGGCAGCGAAGTCGGTACAGACGATCACCGCCATCCTTCCCGCCATCTGGATTTCCTGTAGGCTGTCCTTGGTGCGGTTGGCTCGTCGACCAGAACGCTTCACCACGTAGAAAATGATGATGTAGCAAATGAGGATGGTGGACAAGCAGAGGACGTTGATCCCGACGTAGATAGCGATTCCGAAGTACCACGACGACCCTTCGATCTCCAACTCGCCCGACTCACCGCCTCCCGGAACAGCGTAGATGTAGAGCCCCACCGGAAGTCCTATGCAGACGTCCGAGTTGCCGTAGAAACCAGTGAAGCTCGAAGGGAACATGAACGGGATGGAGCAGATGATGATTGAGACAAGCCAAATGAACATGATGGCAATTCCGGTTGTCCTGGTGCCCATGTGGAATTCTAATCGGAATGGGAAAACGATGGCAAGCATGCGTTCGATGCTGATCAGCGTCAACATGAACACCGACATCTGACCCGACACCGTGGCCATATAGCCAGCTACCTGACATAGTGGACTTCCAAGCCATTTATCGGCGAAGAAGTAGTAATCATATCCGAATTTCGCGCCAACGCTACCGATGATGAGGAGATAGATACCATTGAGGATATCCGCAGCCGCTAAGCTAAGGATCATGAGGGCGTTGATGCGAGCTATGCGTGATGTCTTTGAACAGAAGGTCCGAGATCGTAGAATCAGGACGAACGCGTTGCCGAGGAAGGACGACATCCCAACGATCCAGACGAGTACCTCGATGGCAAGGTTGTCGAGTAGCTTGTCACATGACGAGAAGGCTGTCAGCGTTGTCCCGCACTGAAAATCCATGTCGTGCCGGGTGGCATTGCAGCACTCCTGCCATTCGGAAAGGCTGAAAAAGGAAGAAAATAATAACAAATCGTTTGCGACATTTATAATAACATAATAATGATAATTTTGTTTTTCCATGGAAACCTCATTATCATCCATGATGTTCTTCATGTGGTCCCTGCAATTATTATCAGCTTGGCAATTACCAGGTAGTCATTTACACCTGGGTGGAGAGGGGACAATTATGGATTAATGTCTTGCCAAAAATTACGTTAGTGCCGAGCTTGGATTCGAACCCGTAACCCTTGGATTTAGAGTTAAGGGAATTAACCACTATACCACCACACTATACACGTGATTATAGGGTAGACTGGAAGTTGGGTTAACGCTGGACAATAGCTAAACATAATTGTAAAAGTAATACTCATTGATAAAGATAGCTTAAAGGGCAAGTCCGAATTATTTCAAAATTGAATTGAATAAATCAAACAAACAAAACAGTGAAAATGTCATTTTAAAGTTTCGCTTAATTTATAAAACAGTGATATGACTACCGTATATCACATAGGCTGTACCCAAATTAGCGAGTTCAAAAATAACTTTTCTGCTCTGAGAATGTAAAACATTACTTGAATCCTCATGTATGGGTGCAAATCATTACTGTAACTTATTTTACATTAAAAGACAACATTATACAGGTGTGAAATGAATTCCAACTGATTTAATATCAAATGTTATAGCCGCTGAACAAGATTTCAAATTATTATTATTATCGTGATATATCAGGCTATTAATAGTTCCTGAATTTTAATATGCAAAACAACGTCAACAACATGGCGGAAACGCATTCAGAACCAAATAGATTCCCGGGGTTTGACCGTATTGGTACTTCAAAGAATTTTAATTTAAAAAAATTATATTACATGTTTTTAACGTGAAAATACAAGGATTTTATTATTGCCAGTATGTCATGCCTGTCGCATCGAACTTCAAATTAAACGTATTGAAGGTTTTTCTGATTTAATTAATCGACTATGGACAAAAGGCTGGAACGCGATTCTTTTTACCGTGATTCCTTTATCAAAACATATTATTGTGCAAACCCGCGATCACCCTGTACATCGATATTCATGAGAACAATAGTACCAGGGCTATTACACTCTCTGAGGGGATTTCAGGAAACCGCTATACAGCGGCATAGCGGGGGCTCGGTCACTAATTCAATTCAATTCATATTTATTTCATTTTCAACAGAAAGATAAACAAAGGTATTCCATATATTATTACAGAAAGTATAACAAAAAATGTATATACAAATTTCTTTTTTTCCCTTGGTAATTATACAAGTACACTTTACACATAACAAAAGTATTACAAGAAATTCTTAATTTCTGAGGAAATGGGGGTATCCACTAAAAAGCAGTGCTTGTAGTTTGTGTATCCCCCAGAAAGAAATAATTAGAGGGGGTACAAGTTTTCGATCTAGTACTAGATCGGCGTATTTCATCTCCTCTTTTTTTTTTAGTCACGGCACCCTTTTAAAAGTTTAAGTTACGCGTTTTTCCAATGGGAAATTCATCAAAGAATTTTTTTTCCATCCCTGGTATACATAGACGCACGGGCACATTTTCGCGTCCGGGCCGTGAGGGCCTCTTACCCGAAAATATACTGCCCGGTTCTCAAATATTGCGAGCGAGCGAAAACAATTGCACTTTTATTACGGCACAAATATTAATTTAAATACTAGATAAAGGTTGAATATTTATTCGGTCATCTCGATGCCTGGAATCATCCCGACTTATCGATGATAATTTATTACTCCAAAAATTAGAAAGATATGGTGTTCAGAATAATGTGTCGATATGGTTTACGAACTACATGTCTGGTAGAAAAAAAACTGTTTATTGTCATGAGAAATTGTCTTATTTTAAGAGTCTGTCTATTGGAATACCCCATGGCAGTGCACTGGGTCCTCTCCTTTTTCTTGTTTGTATTAACGATATAAGTGAATGTTTAAGATCATGTTCATGCAATATATATGCTGATGACGTTGTTATATATATTTCTGATAAAAATATCGAAGTTATTAGGGATAAGCTGCAGGCTCATCTAGTAGAAAATAGTAAGTGGTATAAAAGAAATAAAGTAAAAGTTAATACTGAAAAAAACGTACAGTATGTTATTGAAACGCAACTCACAAACTATTCAGGATTTAAACATTTCTTTGGATGGTAATAAAAGCAAACATGAACAAAATATTAACCTGGAATATTCATGTAAAGAAACTTAGTAAATCGTTACCTTATAAAATATTTTCTTTAAAAAAGGTCAGTAATTTCACCGATACAAATGTTTTGAATAAAATGTATACATGTACAATCCAACCTATATTAGATTGCGCATGTTCGATATGGGGGAGTTGTTCTGTATATAACAAGCATCCTTAGATTACAAAAAAAGAGCAGCAAGAATATTTAAAAGGAATTTTGATTTTAAGTAAAGTGGTCTTGATATTGTTAAAAGATTGAAATGGCAGGTTTCAGAAGAAAGACGGAACTATTTCTTGCATGTATATTTTGTATCCATGGCTACGCTCCATTACGTTTGTGCAATGCTATTGACATGGTATTTGACCGGCACCCAATGAATACGAGATTGGCTAACTAAATGAGTGTTGTCCTTCTCATGCCTAATATTTAAATTTAATTGACCTCTCACAAACATACCCACCCACACACGGACGCACGGACACACACACGCACACGCACGCCGATACACGAAAACCTTCTCTCTCTCTCTCTCTCTCTCTTTCTTGTACGTCTTTCATTCTCTTGTTATCTCTCCTTCCTTCCACTCTCTCCATTCTCCATTCTTCTCTCCCTTTTCTCTCTGTCTCAGCTCTCACTTCCTTCCCCTATCTATCCTACTTCCCCTTTTATGACATTTGGTTATTGACAGCTAGACCCTACATAATGCAGTGCAGGGGCAAATTAATTTTTTTAATTTTTTTTTTTTTTTTTTTTTTTTGGGGGGGGGGGGGGTTACGCACCGGGTAATATTCTTTGGGAAGTCCTGGACCCCGTAACACAAAGGTTTGCAATCAATTGTAACTAAAATGACAATGGCCAATCAGGACCGTCGTTGTCTGCACATATTGTTCAAAAGGCTGACCATCAACCAGTAAAAAACGCCGATGCAATTGAATGCAAACATTTGTGTTTCTGGGCCCTGTGGTAGTTTTCCTGAGGAAGATTTCCTCGGGGTTATCAAGGATTATTTGGTTCTAACAAACTTTTATTCAACACCTTGATGTTCTTAAAACTCGTTTTCCTATATATTTCACGAAACGTTTTCAATTTCGTTAGTTCTGTTTAAACCATAATCATAATTTATTTCGACAGCATGTTTTTAAATAAAAATGAAACTTGACTGAGCTTCTTCCGAACAAAATCAATAGAGGCATAGACATACTGGGTGATTTGTAGTGAGTTGCCCGATTATGCAATTTTTATCACCTTTTTAAAATATTTATATTACGAAGCAAGGTATCTTTTAAAAAAAATAGAAACTGGAAAGTTGATATCCGGCGTCAGCCCCCTTGTAAATACATTTCCGCAAATGGCTTTCCCCCAGCCCCCCCCCCCATAAAAAAACTGTTAATAAAATAGGATAATAACGTAAATTTAAACTTTTTTTAAAACAAAAAACAAAAGCGGGCACCCCCCCCCCCCCCAAAAAAAAAAAAAAAAAAAAATCGCCCACCCCACCCCCCAAAAAAAACTAGTGGTTTTCCTTTCCATCACCCCCCCCCCCCCCCCCGACTGGATGAATCGCTGCTAAATATTTTCTCACGAATTGGGCCCCCCCCCCCCAACAAAACAAAACAAAACAAAACAACAACGAAATGTGCTCCACACCCCCCCCCCCCCCCCGCTTATTCACCGGCAGGCCGAGTCGGCGCTAAATTTTTCCTCAAAAACTGTACCCAAAAATAATAATATGTGCTCTTACCCCCTCACCCCCCCCCCCCCCCCGTTTATTCACCGGCCGGCTGAGTCGGCGCTAAAAAAAAATCTCAAGATTTGGGCCCCCACTCTTGTCGCCGGCTTGATCCGCCCCTGAATACAGGCGCCTCCCCTACTTGACAAATGTCATTATATTTGTACAGATGTGTTGTATTCCATACTATGAATCAATACGTACAGACTAATTTCAACCGAAAGTACTTTTATCGACAAATCAATCTATTACAACTGACAGATTCGACCATGCATGCGTGCGTGCATGATTGTCATCATATTTATACAGTTGTATTTTGCGCTCATGATAAATTAATATTGACAAATCACTCTTGAATCCAGTTAAATAGGAGAATTCAATGTACATTAATATTTTAATAAGATCAGACAATACGGACGTACTGAGGGGAGACTAAAAAATATATAATCCTGCTTAGTGAGTAACAAATTTAGAGGTATAAAAAATTAACATGTTTTGTCTCTTCGTAATGAATATAATAAATAATGAATTATATGCTCTTAGGATGGGGTAATGAAAGAACCTAAATACAGTAATATTAATATAAATCATGAACACAATCCATTAAAACTGTCGGTTTTAATATTATCTGAAAACATGGACAAGTTAATACCATAAAAAATGAGAGCTTATTTCAAAGTATTAATTCGCTTTACCAGGCACCTGTGAGCGAATTTAAGCAAGAAATCCAAAGGTTTTTACATTTAATTCGTTTTTAGGGGGTGTCTCAAAGTTTGTCATGTTTGTCTTTTCAACTTAAAATTCGCTTATACAGCACCTCATGCATACATCATCCTCTGGAGAAGTACACCTACCTCAGCACCCCTGGCTTCTAGGGTTATGGCTCTTATCACTATGAATGTCGATTTTAAAAAATTATTAAGAGTATATTATTACATCTCTAGTGATTGATGCAACACCAGAGAAATAAAAACTCGCACAGCACTAGCTCAGAAGGCATTCTCTATACACGTTAGGGTACTGGCAGCAAAAAGGATCAATCTAAATCTTAAGAAGAGACTTGTCTGGTTTGGAGTGCAGCATTGAATGGCTCCGAAACTTGGACAATCGGGAGAGCTGAGGAAAGGTTGATTGACAGTTTGGAAATGTGGCTGAGGAGAAAATGGAAGGAATTACTTGGAAGGACATGGTCACCAATGAAGAAGTGCTAGAAAGAAGGAAAGAACCATGAACAAAGAAGCTTGAGAGAAACAATCTGGAGACGGAAGAAAAAATGGATAGGACACGTCTTACACGTCTTACGGGGGAAGAACATGCTCAGGGGTATCTTGGAAGGGAAGATGGATGGTAAACGAAGAAGAGGTGGACCAAGAATAGAAGTGATGTCAGACTTGATAGATGGCAGATAATAATGACATGCAAAATGAAGAAGAAGGCTAAAGATATATAGGTATGGAGAAGGACTATATAGAAGGCTCTGGTGTACGTGTGGACATGCAATTGTCAGAACACCTGAGAGAGATTGTTACATAATTAACTTGCATATATTTTCAGTAAACCTTCATCCCTATAATACAATAAGACAAAGTCTTTGTAATCTCTCGATAGTACATTTGATGGCAAGAAAATTCAAACTACACGTTTTAAAAATTATTAAAATCTAAATGAAAAATTTCGAAACATTTAAAGGTTTCGAATGATTCTATAACTTAACTTACTATAATAGTACAGTAACAAACAAAAATATAAAGTTTTTTCATGTCACTACTGTTAAAAAGCATGAATGTCCAGAACAAAAAAGCCATTAAGTTAGCCTCATTTTGATGTCTAAGAGCACGATTAATTTTTTAACAAAAGAAGTTAAGTCAGTTTATCTAACGATACCCCACTAATTCCAGAAATGTTTGTACTCTTTCCTAAACGTTCTCTTCTCTTTGACATAACTTGTGTGATGGTATAGATATAGGGATTTAATGCTGAGTTGATTGGGAGTAGCAGGGCCACGACGAAAGCATAAAGAGTGGCAGGCATGTTCCAAGCGTGTACGAGAACGAGGATGAACATGACTACGATAGGAAACCAGGCAGCGAAGTCGGTACAGACGATCACCGCCATCCTTCCCGCCATCTGGATTTCCTGTAGGCTGTCCTTGGTGCGGTTGGCTCGTCGACCAGAACGCTTCACCACGTAGAAAATGATGATGTAGCAAATGAGGATGGTGGACAAGCAGAGGACGTTGATCCCGACGTAGATAGCGATTCCGAAGTACCACGACGACCCTTCAATCTCCAACTCGCCCGACTCACCGCCTCCCGGAACAGCGTAGATGTAGAGCCCCACCGGAAGTCCTATGCAGACGTCCGAGTTGCCGTAGAAACCAGTGAAGCTCGAAGGGAACATGAACGGGATGGAGCAGATGATGATTGAGACAAGCCAAATGAACATGATGGCAATTCCGGTTGTCCTGGTGCCCATGTGGAATTCTAATCGGAATGGGAAAACGATGGCAAGCATGCGTTCGATGCTGATCAGCGTCAACATGAACACCGACATCTGACCCGACACCGTGGCCATATAGCCAGCTACCTGACATAGTGGACTTCCAAGCCATTTATCGGCGAAGAAGTAGTAATCATATCCGAATTTCGCGCCAACGCTACCGATGATGAGGAGATAGATACCATTGAGGATATCCGCAGCCGCTAAGCTAAGGATCATGAGGGCGTTGATGCGAGCTATGCGTGATGTCTTTGAACAGAAGGTCCGAGATCGTAGAATCAGGACGAACGCGTTGCCGAGGAAGGACGACATCCCAACGATCCAGACGAGTACCTCGATGGCAAGGTTGTCGAGTAGCTTGTCACATGACGAGAAGGCTGTCAGCGTTGTCCCGCACTGAAAATCCATGTCGTGCCGGGTGGCATTGCAGCACTCCTGCCATTCGGAAAGGCTGAAAAAGGAAGAAAATAATAACAAATCGTTTGCGACATTTATAATAACATAATAATGATAATTTTGTTTTTCCATGGAAACCTCATTATCATCCATGATGTTCTTCATGTGGTCCCTGCAATTATTATCAGCTTGGCAATTACCAGGTACTCATTTACACCTGGGTGGAGAGGGGACAAATATGAATTAATGTCTTGCCAAAAATTACGTTAGTGCCGAGCTTGGATTCGAACCCGTAACCCTTGGATTTAGAGTTAAGGGAATTAACCACTATACCACGACACTATACACGTAATTATAGGGTAGACTGGAAGTTGGGTTAACGCTGGACAATAGCTAAACATATTGTAAAAGTAATACTCATTGATAAAGATAACTTAAAGGGCAAGTCCGAATTATTTCAAAATTGAATTGAATAAATCAAACAAACAAAACAGTGAAAATGTCATTTTAAAGTTTCGCTTAATTTATAAAACAGTGATATGACTATATCACATAGGCTGTACCCAAATTAGCGAGTTCAAAAATAACTTTTCTGCTCTGAGAATGTAAAACATTACTTGAATCCTCATGTATGGGTGCAAATCATTACTGTAACTTATTTTACATTAAAAGACAACATTATACAGGTGTGAAATGAATTCCAACTGATTTAATATCAAATGTTATAGCCGCTGAACAAGATTTCAAATTATTATTATTATCGTGATATATCAGGCTATTAATAGTTCCTGAATTTTAATATGCTAAACAACGTCAACAACATGGCGGAAACGCATTCAGAACCAAATAGATTCCCGGGGTTTGACCGTATTGGTACTTCAAAGAATTTTAATTAAAAAAAATTATATTACATGGTATTTTAAAGTGAAAATACAAGAATTGTATTAGTGCCAGTATGTCATGCCTGTCGCATCGAACTTCAAATTAAACGTATTGAAGGTTTTTCTGATTTAATTCATCGACTATGGACAAAAGGCTGGAACGTGATTCCTTCACTGAGACTCCTTTATCAAAACATATTATTGTGCAAACCCGCGATCGCCCTGTACATCGATATTCATGAGAACAATAGTACCAAGGCTATTACACTCTCTGAGGGGATTTCAGGAAACTGCCATACAGCGGCGTAGCGGGGGCTCAGTCATTAATTCAATTCAATTCATATTTATTTCATTTTCAACAGAAAGATAAACAAAGGTATTCCATATATTATTACAGAAAGTATAACAAAAAATGTATATACAAATTTCTTTTTTTTCCTTGGTAATTATACAAGTACACTTCACACATAATAAAATTATTACAAGAAATTCTGATTTTCTGAGGAAATGGGTTATCCACTAAAAAGCAGTGCTTGTAGTTTGTGGATCCCCCAGAAAGAAATAATTAGAGGGGGTACAAGTTTTCAATCTAGTACTAGATCGGCGTATTTCATCTCCTCTTTTTTTTTTAGTCACGGCACCCTTTTAGAAGTTTAAGTTACGCGTTTTTCCAATGGGAAATTCATCAAAGAATTTTTTTTATATCCCTGGTATACATAGACGCACGGGCACATTTTCGCGTAAGGGCCATGAGGGCATCTTCCCCGAAAATATTATATTGTCCGGATCTCAAATATTGCGAGCGAGCGAAAACAATTGCACTTTTATTACAGCACAAATATTAATTGTATACACTAGATAAAGGTTGAATATATATTTGGTCATCTCGATGCCTGTAATAATCCGGACTTTAACGATAATATATAAGTTATTACTGCAAAAATTGGAAAGATATGGTGTTCAGAATAATGTGTTGATATGGTTTATGAACTACATGTCTGGTGGAAAAGAAAACTGTTTATTGTCATGAGAAATTGTCTGTCTATTGGAATACCACAGGGCAGTGCACTGGATCCGTTCCTTTTCCTTGTTTTTAATAATGATATCATGTTCATGCAATATATATGCTGATGACGTTGTTATATATATTTCTGATAAAAATATCAAAATTATTAGGGATAAGCTGCAGGCTCATCTAGAAGAAAATATTAAGTGGTATAAAAGAAATAAACTAAAAGTCAATACTGAAAAAACGTACAATATGTTATTGAAACGCAACTCACAAACTATTCAGGATTTAAACATTTCTTTGGATGGTAATAAAAGCAAACATGAACAAAATATTAACCTGGAATATTCATGTAAAGAAACTTAGTAAATCGTTACCTTATAAAATATTTTCTTTAAAAAAGGTCAGTAATTTCACCGATACAAATGTTTTGAATAAAATGTATACATGTACAATCCAACCTATATTAGATTGCGCATGTTCGATATGGGGGAGTTGTTCTGTATATAACAAGCATCCTTAAATTACAAAAAAAGAGCAGCAAGAATATTTAAAAGGAATTTTGATTTTAAGTAAAGTGGTCTTGATATTGTTAAAAGATTGAAATGGCAGGTTTCAGAAGAAAGACGGAACTATTTCTTGCATGTATATTTTGTATCCATGGCTACGCTCCATTACGTTTGTGCAATGCTATTGACATGGTATTTGACCGGCACCCAATGAATACGAGATTGGCTAACTAAATGAGTGTTGTCCTTCTCAAGCCTAATATTTAATTTTTTAAGAATAGTCTACGTTACGCAGGCGGCAAAGTATGGAATAACTTACCCTCTAACCTACAAAATGCACAATCCATCGACTATTTTAAAAACATGTATAAAAAAACCTATTTCTCCAAATTATGAATATTATCATCATTGATTCTGCTCTTTCTGCTTTAAGTTTAGTTTGGTACTTCATGAGATGGTTATTTAGTTGTGACATAATTTGATTTTAAATAGATTAGTTGATTCCATTATTGTGTTTTTATATATTTAATTAAATATCATATAATTTTTTTTGGTTTCTAATCAAAATTGTGGTCGCTAAATATTTATATCATGACTTAATGAGTATTTTAACAATTCTTATTATATGTGCATTAATTATTTATTTTGATGTTTTAATGTAAGCTTTTAATATTCAGGACCAGGATGTGAACCAATCCTTTCGGATCTTGTTATCCTGATGAAATATTGTCGTAGGGAATTTTGATTATAATGTAAATAGCTTGAGTATAATAAATTCATTAAAATGGCAATCCATTGACACTAGACGGGACTATTTTTTATCATGTATAATGTACAACTGTATTCATGGAAAAGCCCCAGTACGATTATGCAATGAAGTGGAAATGGTTTTTGACAGACATGGTTTTAACACTAGACTTGCCAATACGCTGAATGTTGTTTTACCTAAGCCTAATCTTGAATGTTTTAAGAATTGTTTGAGATACGCTGGAGGTAAAATCTGGAATAGTCTACCTTCTGCTTTTCAAAATGCTAAATCTATCGATGTTTTTAAACGTATGTACAAGGACAAATTTTTTAAACCTGTGTAATACAATGCCGATTCATTTACTGCTTTGACATGGCTTATCTCTCTCTCTCTCTCTCTCTCTTTCTCTCTCTCTCTCCATTTCCCTCTCCTCTCTTTCTTTCTTTCTTTCCCTCTCCCCTCTTTCTTTCTTTCCCTCTTTCCTCCTTTACTTTTTACCAGTTACCTTATATCTTCTCTCCTCTTCTATTTTTTAGGGTGATATTTTAATGCCTTTTATTAAATGTGATTTGATATTTTTTCCGCTGTTAATTTCATTTATTTCATGTCGTTTTTTTTGTTTTTTTGTTTTGTTGTGCTTTTTACTATTTTTAATGCGTATTATGCTTATAGGTTAGTTTTATACTGTTCTTACCTTTGCCTGTCAGCTTTGGTGATATTCGTTATTTATATTTCCGTGTTTTTATCCTGTTCAGGACCATGATGTAAAACAGATTTTGTATCTACAATGTATATCTGATTCTTGATATCCTGATTAAATATATTTCAATAAAAAAAAAAAAATAAAAAAAATATGTTCAAATAATTACAATAAAATGAATAAATAAACAAATTTTGCGAGGAGTGAAGTGAACGAGGCAAAAAAAAAACACTCGTGTGGTATAAATTTCATTTCGATATACATGTTATGACGTACTAATGAATAAATAAGGTTATATTCGGGCAGCGAGGTGTCCATGTATAGTCTTATCATCATGGGGATAGTCATGAAACTTACCCGTTTCTAAATTTTGCAGGCGAGCAAGTTAGCGAGGAAAAAATACACTTTGCTATCTGTGAAATGTTATTTCCTCATCAAACTACCCAAGGACAAGTATTTTGGGCATCTTGCGGTTTCCATGAATTTGACGTTATTCCGAAATATGTTTTTATTATAGGCCTATATTCTCGAGGCAACAAAAAAAAAGCCTGTACGAGATGGTCAAAATTGATTTATTCAGTCATCCCTAAAGTTAAATTTGTCAACTATTCTTATGACCTTCTTTGCATACTAGAAAAAATAGAAACATTCAATTCTTGATATTTTCCCAAAGGTTATAATCAAATTTGTGCCTGTCCATATTAAAGTCTCCGAGCGTGGACTGCTTTGTGTGTGCATTAATAGTCGGTCCTCTTCTTAAATGTCAGGAAGGTTATTTAGAAAACGTTTTTGTAGGGAAATTGGAAAGGACGGAGAGAAAAGGGAGAGGGAAGGATAGATAGGGGAGGGGAGTGAGAGAAAGAGAGTACAATATTTAGCTTTTGTATACAAGTCTACATGTATGGCCTTTCGTATACATATTGTGAACACTTCAATTTCGAAAACGCTACAGGGCATAAAGATTAATTCTGTTGGGAATTACAAAAATAATTTGTATAAAAAAAAAATATCACTGAGAGGACTATATGAAATAAATTTATTTTCAAAATACATCCACAAGACATAGCCAGGCCTATTCAAACTATATTATTCATACAATCAGCAATATCCCTATAAAATAGACGTGTACATCCCCAAAATCTACACTAATACAAGAAGAGTATATATTTGTATACATAGGGCATATATTGATACGGTGACAGTGTACTATTATAATATTGGTAGGCGTGTCAACGACCCATAGAAAATATAACCAACGCAAAGCTGTAACCAAGGCACCAAAACTATTCAACTTGAAGAAAAAACGCAAAGTACACCTAGGACGGACAAAGGAAGGTCAGTCATACATAGAGTCGCTGTTTTTCATTGTTTTTTGGCGTCAGTTCTTGCGCCCCTAAAAACTAGAGGGTTATTATGGAGCACGAAGTTCCAGATTAAAGCCGAACAGACAAAGGCACGCCGATGTGAATCATATACACGATGACATGTAAAACACTCGACAGATTATTCAACAGTCATCTAAACATGTGAAAAGAAAAAGCGTATGATACACAAGGGGGAAATTAGGGTACGAGTATAGCATAGTATGCTATACATTAACCAGATTAAGGTCTACTCTATTCCTATACTTAAATTCTCCTTTTCAAATGTTTTTTTTAATCTGTTGATCATTACATATGTTTAGCTATGTCATTAGTATTTAGTATTAATCTTTAGTATTCAGAATGTTTAGTATGTTTGTTCCGTATCACTTGAAGAATATTGAATTGAATGGGATGTAGGGCTATGACTTCGTTTCAAGCCTAGGCCCTTGTGCTCCACCAATGTATGTCACAAGTTGAAAATCGAGCAACACATTGCGGACAGGATGTTTTACTATTGTTAGTAGATATCTGCCATGCACTAAGACGATGTACAATGTTAATACCATAAGAAGAAGTAACAAGAACAAGAACGAGAAGAAGACGGAGACGAAGAAGAAAAAAAACATTTCAGTAGCTCATGAAATATGCAAACATGACAATGACATATTAGATAATCATTATAAATTATGATCTCCATAGGCAATACAATAGGGTACTGGAAAATCCCCTTTAAGTTGTTTCTCGAAAGTCTTTGCAATCGTGATTATGTTATACGAGAAATTATTAATCAATAAAGTGTAAGTAAAATCTCATCTTACCTTGGGACGTACTCTTCTTCTCCCGATCCCGGCGAAGCTGTAGTAAAATTCATCATCCTATATCGTATTTATTGATTTGAGTCCCACTCTTTTTCACTTATTCTTCGGTCTGGTTTCCAAAAGTAATCAAGATTAGCGAACATAACACGGTAGCCCTTGCTAGAGATTCACGAGGAAAGTGGCGGAGATTCGCAATCGTCAAGTTCGCTTCGATCGTTGTTAGTCTGGACGAAGTTCCGTCCGAGCTTGCTATGATGGGTGAATATTCTCCTCTAAATCGTTGAGTCCGTGTAGAACTAACGAGATGATGCGCATGCGCTTTTGTAAATACAATAATGTGACGAGATAATGCATTTAACGTCGACTCGAGATAAAAGAGGAAACATAGTAGACCTTCATTGTTTGAGTAGTGTAAATATTAATGTTTGGCTGGAGCCATTATCTCGATATCATTTACATAAACTGATCAAGAGAAATTAATGGTATAGAAGACGCCACATGCACTTGGATGTGTTGGAGTATCACGGCAATCGCAAACAAAAATCTTAGGCTTTATGCATTGCAATGCATGTTCCTGGATGATCGATAAGAGCAAAAACTTTAGCTTGCAGTTGTCTAAATTTGATCAGTCGAATATTATTTACACGTTTAGCTCGTTGAATCAACCAAACTCTGTCAAATATATCTCCTAATCGAGGAACGATCTATCCATGTAGTGCTTCAGAAGCCCTTATGTATTGCAGTGCTTGTTCCTGGATAATCGATATAAAGAGCAAAAACTGTTGCTTGCAATATTGTCTAAATTTGATCAGTCGAATATTATTTACACGTTTAGCCCTTTGAATCAACCAAACTCTGTCAAATAAATCTCCTGATCGAGAAACGATCTATCCGTGTAGTGCTCCAGAAGCCCTTATACTTTATGTATTGCAGTGCATGCTCCTGGATAATCGATAAGAGCAAATACTGTCGCTTGCAGTTGTCTAAATTATTTTGATCAATCGAATATTATTTACACGTAGAGCCCGTTGAATCAACCAAATTCTGTCAGATATATGTTCCTAGGTCTCCTGATCGAGGAACGATCTATCTGTAGTGCTCTAGTATATCCCTTATACGAAAATATAGTATGTTCGTCTTCATTTCCGTAAACAGCAATGACATTGTAAGGTCACAACGTTTTTGTTTGAGAGACAAACAAAAAAATCAGCCTCGCTGCATGAGTAGTTATTATCAATAGCCATCTAAATTCGACATTTTATTGTAGTTGCATGGTCCATTCACTTCATAATCGGTGTAAAGAACAAGGGCGTACTCCAAAATAATGCGAACAGTGACATTATAGTCGATCTATATAATATCCAAGTCACATCACCATTACATTACACAGCTCCCGGTCGACCCTAACCGACCGATTCTCGGTCTGGCCTTCGTGCTCATCGACGGACTTCGATCTTATCTCATCGATCTCATCGACGACTTGTTAAGGCGGTCATCCGCATCCGACTCGATCTTGCTCCTGCGACAATATAATTGCTCCACAGTAATTTCCGACACAAACCGGACTCCCTAACTTCAACTCCGAAAGCCTAACCCTAACCCTATACTTTTGACGACCAAAACCATAAGCAATAGTATTGTCACCGGAGCACGAATGTCTGCCAGAGCGCCATTAGGAGCCAGAGCATATAACACTGAGTTCCTATGGGGAGTATATTTATTCAGATGGTCATATCTCAACCAATACTTAACATATTCAATTGGTTTTCAACATTTGGACATTATTTTAGGTGTTCTTTCGGAATATGAAGAAAAAATTGAGAAATTCTAAAATTAGATTTTTATGACGTCACAGCTTCGGTACTCTCGTATCAAAGAAAAATAAAGCGCTGTCTGGATCTATCAGGTGTTTGCCAAATGCAGGTCCACATTACACACTAAAGAGCCCTCATTATTTCCTTCTTCATCCCTCTCTATATCTTTAGCCTTCTTCTCCATGATCTGTCACCTACCAAGCCTGAAATCATCCCAATTCTTGCGCTTCCTTTACCCCGTTTACCATCCATCTTCCCTTCCAAGATGTCCCTTTAGTTAGCATGCTATCATCCCCTGTTAAGAGGTGTCCTATCCAGTTTTTCTTCCGTCTCCTTGTTGTTTTTCTATACATTTTGTATGTTGTTCATTCACTCTATCCAGCAGTTCTTTCTAGTGCCTCAGTCAAACCTTTGTGTATTTGTCTTGCGTATGCTGCGTATTTATGGCAAGCTGTTTCGACTTTTTATTCCTATTTCTTGATATCAAGAATTGAATTATCGAATTCAAGAAAGGAATTCTCGATATCAAGAAATCGAATTCTTGATATCAAGAATTACCATTGCTTTACAACAGGAATTGATTTCTTGATATGAGGAAATAGGAATAAATGTTAAAACGGCTTGCCATAAATACACAGCAATACGCAAGCCAAATACGCAAAGGTGTGACTGAGCTGAGGCAAGGCTTCAAAGCTATAGAGATGTGACGTGCTGCCGGGATTGGTATCCATAGACCTTGTAGCCTATGAAATGTTCAGTGCATTTGGGCATTGATGGAAAAGTGGGATTAGTGACGTCAGTGTATATATGTTTTCATAATAGACGTTTTCTATTCCATAATCTCATCCTCAAAGGAATCTGGGACTGTATAGATTCGGCAGGGATTACATCCCGTATCGAGATTAGTCCCGATAATTATTTGAATGGCAAAAATGCTTTTCAACTTAGACAAAGATGGGACGAATATTGGCTAGTGACCATTGCTGTCACGTACATCCTATAGAACTCGTGTCAAAAGGGATTAATCCTGCATATCGGTTAGCCTCTCAAACTGTCCGGTATTACACTTTCTCGACCATTCCAGCTAGCAAAAGTGCTATATTTATCAAGCAGGATGGAAGAATAAAGGTTAGAATGTTCTTTTTATTTTCCTCTAATCCTATCACGAAGCATTGACAAGGAATATTCAGCATGGATTACAGCTTTCATTATTAATTGAATAGCGAACGTTTCCATACCAGGGGATGCTCCAAGCCTTAACCCAGCTGCACATGCAAGGCACTAAAATCATCCAAGGAATAAATTCCTACCAAGTACACGTTTACTACACCTGGGTAGAGAGTGGTGACTGGTGAATGTTAATTAATTTTGACAAAAGACATTAGTGCCGTGGCGGGACTCGAACCGCGAACCATGTGGTCCACAGTACGTCCGGTGACATATCCAATAGACTACAACACATTAAATTAATTTTATGAGATATAACTCATTTTTTGGAGTTAGTAAAAGTGTCAACGGCTCTACTGAGGGCAGCTAGATATATCGTTTTCTTCCAAACTGATTTGTTAAGGTCATGTACCAATAAGAGTACAATGTTGTATACCGCAGTCAAACCTGTCTTAGTGGCCACTTCTCTTTCTAAAAGGCCACCTGTCTATAAAAGCCTTGCATTTTGTCTCACTATAGGGAGAAAGAGAGAGAGAGAGAGAGAGAGAGAGAGAGAACGAGAGAGAGAGAGAGAGAAATACGTGTATGTGTTGTATAATCTGTCTAGAAAAGCCCACCTGTCTATAATGGCCGCTTTTTCTCTTGGTATAGCCTCAAAAGACAGATTTGAATGTAGTTACAGGCGACCCTAGAAAACGTTTATTCTGGAACAACTTCGGGTTCTAGAAATTTCATGATTATTCATGATGATTTCTTTTAGGATGGATCCGTTACCGATAAAATTATGGCACTGCATGACGGTTTTGTTATTGTGCACATTTTCATCCCATCTCCTTCCCTCCCCGCCCCAATCTGCGACAAATAGCTGTGGTAATGACATTATTTTCATAGTGTCGATAAATATTGAATCGAACCTTGCTGCGTCATTCGCCTATAATTATACAGTCAATCGAAATTGATAATTGATTACACATTTCATTGTTAAAATGCAGTCGCCGTTATATACACCGTCATCAGTGTTATCTGTCCTTTGCCACGTAATTAGAACGCCCAGTACATTCCACTATTAAAAGGCAAATATCAACGTTTACTAGCTAGTATTAAATTTTAATGCTACTTGCATGTGAAATAGCACCAGGACCCTGTTTCATAAAACGTCATACTAATAACAAGTTACAGTAACTGCTATGCTATTGAAATCGTGGCGTTTGATTGGCTGAGAGCAAATTTGTCGTAGAAATTTAGCATTTGTTATTGATAACAAGTTTTATGAAACAGGGCCCCGCTCCACAAACGGTGGATGGCCTGGAAATAGAGCCAAAGTGCATGAGTTTCAATCAAAAGTAATAAAACATAATACCACTCGTAGGCCGGGACATTGTGGTGTGCGCCTGTAATCCAGCTAACAAGGGAAGTAACATACTGATTAAGCCGATGACGCAGGTTCGAAAATAAGTCACGTCTTTCGAATCGGTCCCCAGACGTAAATAATTATATCTGATTGAAACACGTCTGTAAAAAAATGCAATTAAACAGGGACATTTATCATATCATGCCTCACTGGTGGTATCGGTAGAATTGTGACAGCGATAGAACATAAAAGAAGACATTAATTTGCCAAAAACATTGCTTTGAAACTGCATGATTACACGCTGATGCTGAAAATTGAAATGTAAAAGACAATATAAGGTGTAATCTAAATAAATGAAAGCTCTTTCTCTGATAAGATAAGAATATAATAGTTGGTGATATTTGAGAAGGATATTTTTAGGGCTTGTCTGTACATTATTATTGGCATCATTTTCAAATCAATTTCAATTCACTGATTATTCTCTTTGAAGTGCAAAAAAATATTCACTGAGAAGTTTAACGGAAATGCCAAGAATATTTCTGTAAATTTTCTTGTATAAAGCGCTTCAATATAATGTGAAAGTCATGTCGTGTAGTAATTTCATTCAGAGATACACGTAGCAACATATGATAATAAAAATAATAGTGGAGTATTGTATGACGCTCATGTCTAGCACATTCGCCCACTCCTGGCGCTCTATTAATTACCCCGACTTTAGCACGGCTGCCATTAAATTACAGCTTCTCGAGTATTTCAAGGAATTGATTCTTGCTAGGTACCCATGCATTTATACCTCGCCTGGGTGGAGTGTGGCAAATGTAGATTCACGTCTTGCAAAGTTGCAACATGACATCAGTGCTGCGACAGGGATTCGAACCCGTGCCTAGTACGTGGTTCACAGTCCGCAGACTTAACCACTGGACAACTCTACATATCTAATATTCACAACTCTGAGCTTCTGACTTTTATACAGTTGTAGTACCATTGAAATGTTATTTTAATTTCTATTTATTTCTTATGATTCAAGAAAAAAAAAAGCTTTCAGATTTTTTTTCCTAGGCCCCATCTTCGAGTTGATTGATCCGAATCAATCGCAAGTCCTCCAATCAATCGCAAGTTTGCAGTCTCATATTATGTACAAAGTTGTGATTGATATCAATCGAAAAAAAGTTACGATCAACATTAACTCTTCATATATAATAATAATAATAATAATAATAATAATAGCCTAATAGTCCACTCCAAATTTTATTTAACCGAAACGGAAATTCTTTTTGCCCAATTGATCGTGAGCCCGGCAGCCACTGAGCAGCGCCAGATCGACGTTGATCTATCCCTTATTGTTGAACGCCAAAACAAGGTAGCAACAACTCCCATCTTTTAACGTCTTTTGGTATGACGCGGCCGGGGTTCGAACCCACGACCTCCCGGTTGTGTGGCGGACGCTCTACTGACTGAGCCAACACTCCGGTGAACGGGGCTCTGACTAAACAAAAGATGCTTAAAATGTTATGTTTGGAGATAATAATGTTTTTGTCACATTATTTATGGAAAATCCACCCTGGCTATAAAATTTGCTTTTATAAACGTAGGGGGGGGGGGAGGGGTCAGAATAGATCAATGAAAGTTTGGAGTCAAATTCAATTAAGGATGAAGAAAGTTATACAATAATATTCAAATTTGTGATCTGTCAAACACAAATTACTAATTCTGTAATTCCCCTTTTCGAGTAGCTCTTCGTTATTGTGTGCTAAAATACACCAATAGTCCAATTTTATTTGAAGAAAATATTTTAATCTTTTACGTGGCCTATAATAATCACAAATACTCTATCGTTATATCAAACAATCCCCTCCATGAAATATACATGTTTTTCATCAAGAAACAAGAAAAGATTTTTTTGTATTTGATTGGAATTTGATTGATTTTTGTTCTTGAAGACAAAGTGGTGAGCTGCTTGCAAACTAACCATAATCAATACGTTTATAGATTACAAGTTTGAAACTCCCCCCCCCCCCCTCTTATTTAAAGGCCCGCTGCACTACTGGTAGCTACTTGCACCCTCTATATAACAAACAATGCCTAATCGGTGACCATTGGTCCCCCATGATCCTCTTTTTCTTATGTTAACTGAGAGCTGAGTTGATGAGATAACCACCTGTCCAGTGACCTTGCAGAGCGGTCTAATCCCTCCTGTACACTACGGCAGATAAGCTTTAAATTTTAGTCAAACCGATTTTATATTAGGATTGGATCGTTTGTGCAATATGAACAAAAGCTTAATCACAAACCTAATGATCTTTTTTCTTTAGTATAGGTAACGTTCATTACTAGACCGAGAGGTAAGCGCAATGTTTGTGTTGATAATAAAGCTCATTAACATCTATTTTAGAAAGAGATGATTTTATGTGTTGGGTTGGTCATCAAGAAGGGATTGAGAGTGAGAGAGACAGACACAGAGACAGAGAGAGTGGAGAAAGTGGGATAGAGGGGGTGATAGAGTTGTGATGTAGTGGAACACGGTCTCCTACCTTAGCATATAATGAAAAGAGCTTTGCAAATAATTAACTGAAACTTCAGGACTGAAATTGCAAGCTTTGTTGTGTTGTCATCGCGTTTATAGGCCTATACGCACATAAAAAAAGGGCACTGAAATCACGTTCATACGACTCAATCTCATTTATCGTTAATTATAAACAATCAACAGAGCTGATGTGAAGGAAAACACAGTCGTGACACATCGGGCATTGAGCGGACGGTTTCTTATTACAATTAAGATCTAATTGAGCATCAACTAAAAGCACTGATTGAAATAATGGGAAGTCAATTTTGAGCATGAATGGTTTAAAAGGGTATACCTTTGTGAACACTTTGCAACGTATATAGTAGGACGAGGGGCGTGGGCAATCACGCCATCAAAATGGTGATGACTAAAATCTTGTGCGAGAGTACGTCATTTACGAGATGTCGAGATGTATAGTTTAAAGTATTGGGGTAATTATATTAATGGAAACAATCGGAAGTGTGGGAGAGCCGCGAAGGTTTCCGACTCACATACGAGATGTCCCGGGTTCAATACCCTTACCTTGCTCGGTGCTTATGCATCGTTGTATACAGGTTGTTTTGTCCAATGTTTTTTTCAACATTACCAGAACTCAACCTTCTCTAGATCTTAACCCTCTCGATCCGCCCAGTTATTGAATTTGAATATAGGGACCTGGCAATTAATGCCGGAAATAATAATTGTAGGGCCCGCAGGTATAGCACCATTGATGTTGTTGTTGTTGTTTATATGTTGTTGTTGTTTATTGTTTTTATTTAAAAACAACATGACATGCAGCTCAAGGCGGATACGGCTTGATTTACTAATAAATCAGCAATTTACAATATTGTAATTGTAATAATACCATCATCAAAATGCAAAAGCAATATAACAAAATAACAATGGTATAACATCACACAGCAATATTATAAAAGATTCAGAAAATGTACCGCGGACAAGTATACCTAGTCATCAAAATAATCAAGACAATGTCATTAAATATTTAAGGATATATACATTCAAAGGAGCATAATTAAGTTCAGGAATATTAGGCTTTACTGTTGCACAATATTATGATATTACTATAGACAAACAATTTTAGTTGAGTAAGAGAGGGAATAATTACACAGATGTAGCAGATAAAATAATGTGGAGAACCATCGACAATGGGTAATGAAAGAAAGGAAATCCTATTGCAAAAAACCATGGAGTTACTAGCCTAACTCCATGTAAAAACAGACAAAAATAGTCCTCAAAAGCCCCCCCCCCCCCTCCCCTGGCTGCGTAAAATACATGGTTATGGTTGTGATTTTACAAAATAATTGATCCATTATTCCAATTATTATCATAAAGACAAATACATTTTATTTTTTTAAAACATAGCATTTAAAAGATATTTCATTCTGACATAAATTTTTGTATATAATAAAAATTGTAAACATTACTTTGCTGAGTTGGAGGATAGTAAGGAGAGAAAGTACGAAAGCGGAGAGGATGGAAGAATAGAAAAAGGAGAATAATCAGCGTTCATCAGCAAAAAATAAGTAAATACAAACATGAAAATGATAACTAGAATCACAGATGTTTGTTAAGAAGTCTACAATAGAGGGGGTAGTTGAAGTGTGGTGTCTAATACTGATGTGGCTATAAATACCCCAGGTATAAATAAGACCAAATATTATTGTTACGTTACATTTTCTGTATTTGTGTTGACCATTTAACGGGTCAAAGCCATGCAATTATCGTGTATTTATTGAACAGTCGGGCGTATAGTCGTGAAGGGGGGGGGGGGGGGGGGGGAGGGGGGCGTACTATTTAAATATGATATTATGCGTGCTGTAGACTGCATTAATCCCCCCTCCTCCGTGGGCCGGGCCATTGGCATATCCAGCCACAGAACTTACAGAAGAATGATCCCACAAACTGATTTTAAGCAATGTAATCTCTATATTTGCAAGTCTTTTTTGCGCTCTGTGGGGGCTGGGACGGGTATCGCCAAAATATTTATTTTAGGGGAAGAAAAGAGGAAAGCTGGGGAGGATTCATCAAAAGAAGTTTACCTAGCTAATAAGTGACATTTACAATCCTCCTTTCTCCTGCAATAATTAATGAACAATCAATATTAGGTTCTGACTTTTCTGCGAATTTTCTATTTAACTTTTGAGAGCAAGAAAATGCTATTAAAAAGCAGTAGTCTGCATCCTGAATCATGAGAACATAATACCGTGTATATTTGCTTTTAAGATTTGAAAAATTTCCGTTTACGTTCGCAAATTGTTTGCACGAAGGCGCGACACTGTTAAAAACCCAGACATGACGGAATATATACACTGCACGCGATGTTGTCAAATTGCTGTTTACATTTGACAAGCAACATTTGCAATTGTATACGATAAGAATTATTCAGAAAGATGATTGCGAATAAATTTGCGATTATTTCTTTTCCTCAACAAACTAAGCTCCATTTTCTTGCTAAGTGTGTTTCACTCGATTTTGAGGCTATGTTAGATTTCCCAATATTTCATTATGTTAGTAAATAATCAAGATGAGAACAACATCCCTGTCCCTCCTAAACCCTTCATTCTCCACAACCTTTCTACTCTCTCTCTCTCTCTCTCTCTCTCTCTCTCTCTTTCTCCCTTACTACCCCTCCACCCCTCTCCCTTTCGAAATATTTCTCTTCTTTGTCTGTCTGTCTCTCTCTCTCTCTCTCTCTCTGTCCCTCCTTCTCCATCCCCTACCTTTCACTCTCTTTCTCTCTTCATTCCCATCCTCTCTCTCTCTCTCTCTCTCCCTCCCTCCCTCCCTCGATCACCACCCTCTCTCTCTCTCTCTCTCTCTCTCTCTCTCTTCTCTCTCTCTCTCTCTCTCTCTCAATGATTACTTTATGAAAGAGGATTTTCATGTCTTCTTTTCCTTTTGATTGTCCAATATCAAATCTTTGTTTTAAAGTATATAAAATTGGTACATGTAAAAACTCTTGTATTTTTAAATAATTTATTTATCAATTCTGAGTGAAATATGAGTTTTTAGTTGATTAAACTGAAAAGTACATGATTGTAGGCCTATTGTCTCCTATTGACTATTTTGAAAAGAGAAGAGCCGGACACAATTTGCCGACACGTTTAACCAAAATTTCATAATAACCATGCATGGAGAAGAAAAAAAAACTAATGAAAATATTTATTAGCAAAAAAAGTATTCTCAGATATTTAAATTTCCCGAAGGGGGTAAAAACCGGCCGTCAAATTAATTCAAATTAATTCATTTCTCATCAGTAGGTGAAAGAAGATTGTCATCGATTTTAGTGTTTTGCCGAAAATAAGGCATACAAAATGAAAATTACTGACAGGAAATTCTCTCCATGCACTCTTTAGCAGTTGCCCTGGATCCGCCTAGCTAGATCACAATCATAACCATTTTCTCTGGCCCGTATTGGTTTCAAAACCCGGCTTAATAACGAGTTACCAGGACGGCAGTAAGCACAGTACAAACTGCATCGTATCCAGCATTGACCAAGTATGTTGGAAGCCCCTCCCCTATGAAAGGGGAGTGGCATGCACTGTAAAGTGCGATGATGACTGACAGGGCAAAACCATTCTTACAGGCATCAGGCACAGTCGTCACCCCCAGATGGTCCCTGCATGAATGAAAACGGAATGAAACATTAACGTAAAGGTTCGAAAAGAGAAAAGATCCTAGCATTCTATGAAAACACAACTCATCGGCCACCCAAGCCATAATAGTGCATCTGTAAAGCGCTAATATTGAGCGCTATATATCAAGCAGAATATTACTATTATCATTAAATAGGCCTAATGCTTTGACTTTGGGTGGCTCCACACTATTCACTATTATCAGTCGTTATTGTTTTATTAAATATTGGTCTACATACCATACTGTTTACAAGGTGATTTCGTACCGAAAACCATAACAATTCAAGAAGCCAGAGCAGGTTAAAATTAGAGAGGAATAACTTAAACATTTTCTGGCTGTACACCAAAAAAAAATCAATGTTTCATATCATCAGCTTCTGTTCTGTGGAAAAACTCTTCTCTGGAGCCCTGATTACCTAACATTATCTTTTCTGCCAATAATGTTAGAGTTTTCTGTAATATGTTTATTTCCAAAGTAAAGAGCATATCAAATTATTGTTATTATGTGATAAACAATTTAAAGTGATTATTATTATCAATATCATAATACTAATGCTAATACTACAAATGATAATAATAATATTATTATCATTATCATTATTATTATATTATTATTACTATTATTACTATTACTATTATTATTAGTAGTAGTATTGTTATTGTTATTATCATTATAACCCACGTACTTTAGCACATGTCCAATGATGATTGATGATCCTATCTTGGACAGAGCAGGAACGAGCATGATCCAACGACTGTTGCCATATCGGTCAATGTCTTCCTTTCTTCGGCCACAATTTCTGACCCATACCGAACCAAAGAGAGGCCCATACCAAGCAAAACCCAGCACCTGCATGCAAGATGTAAATGGTGACCAATGAAGTATCATCATTATTAAACCTGACAGAGTAACTGGAAAGTTCACAGGTACAAAAGAAAAAACAAGGGTTCTAAAAAGGTTTTAGGTTTTTACTGATATTTTCCAGGTAATAAATAGGGTCAATAAGAAAGTAAGAGAGAAAATATAAGAGGGTTTTTGTATCGTAGGGGTGGGGTACAAGAACGAAATTTCTGGAGGGGCGCATGTTTTCTTGTTTGTAGGCCTAGGGGTGTTTCACAAAGATCCTAAGTTGAACTTATCTCTAAGTTGGACTTAAAAACTTTGGAAAGCTGTTAGCATACTTGAAACTATTTTGTAAAAGTTTATTTTAGAAGCCATAAATTATTGTTGATTCAAATCTTTCATATTTTCTATTGTCATGGGCGATTTCACGTTCCTGATGTGGAATTTTTGAAAAGTCTAAAATACTTGAATTTTCGCTTTTGAATATATTTCATTATGAGGCTACAAAGGCTTTCCATATTATTTAAGTCCAACTTAGAGTTAAGTTCGACTTGGAATCTTTTTGAAACACCCCCAGATCCGACACTATGAATGATATTAAAAGTGCGATAATAATTAAAAGGTGCAAGGAAGAGATATACATGATTAACGTACATATACTGCATAATGTGTCTCTTACTCTTCATAAGTTCAAAGTTCATTTCGAAGGTAGAATTTATAACTGGAGTCTGGGCAAAAGAAGATGTGCGGCAATAAAATAAGTCGTTGATATTTCGATAATCGTCAAAATGATTGATCGATTCTGATAATGTCAATATTATATAGACACATACATCTTTAATACATGTAAATCAGTTGTATTCTCTTCGAACATACTACCCCCCCCCCCCCCCCCCTCTCCCCCGACAAAACATATTATTAATCATAACGGCGTTCACCGCGGCGTTATACCGCAATCACACCGTCAAGCCGACACAAAACCCGACAGATTTGGGGCCTAAAGTTGGGGTAATGACTGTAGGACCTATATATTTTTTGTTTACCGTCGGTCCAGTATCTGTATTTTGGGGTTGGCGGTAGGGTATTCCACTCCGATCAATCTATCTAGATTTAGACAATTATTCATGTTCATGATGAAAACTCGATAAATAGGCCTTCACATTCTTCTTTCTCTTGTATTGAAATGATTTAGTTGAATCCATTCCTAAAACTTATTTTTTTTAAAGGATGTTACTTTACCTGGCAAGCTGCCGTTGACATGGCGATTCCTAAAACACCCATGTTGTTATGCTTAGATGGTTCTTACGCGCCTCAATCAAATTTGGAAACGCTTTCTTCCGGCTGTTATGTAGTCCTCAATCAGATATGAAGATGCTCTCTATTAAACAAAATGTAAAGTTATTAACAAGATAAAAACTTTATACAAGTTATCAACAAGATGACAGTAGGGATTTTTAGATTTGCATGGACTGATACGTGTGACGTCCATTCAAGGCATAGTGCATTAAAAGGACGTCGACCGTATATCAATCCACATTGTCTTCGTGCAAATCTAAAAGTCCCTAATGTCACATGTCAAACAGATCAAAGTTAAATCCTCGAGATCAGTCGCTTCTTAAATTATTATACATGATGAAAGATTAATCTATGGAATCTGAATAATGAACAAATTCAGGAGTTCACGTCCATTGATCGCTACAAAGCATCTGTATTCATCAAACTAAAACTTATGCCATTATGTAGGGGTTCTAAATTTGTACGGCAAGCCTTTGGCGAATAAGAGAGTTGTCAAATGAAACTTTTGTCCCATAACTATGCATAAAATTGGCAAACAGCTAAGTCTTTACTGCAGATGAGTATTATAGGCCGCCTTAATAATATACTACTCACACCACAAGGTTTGAAAAGCCGAAAGGGCTACACTGTGCATTTTTGTGCTAGATCCGAAAGGGTTATTCTTCTTCGTTTTTAAAGGCCAAACACGGAATTTATTACCAATTTGTCTTTATTAATCCGAAGTGTTTGAACACGATTCGGCAATCTATATATTATTATAGTTGAAATGAATACTCACCTGCTATATGGCAAAATGTTCTGTCTCACGCATGTGGGCATGGAAGATTCCCGTCACAAAAGCCCGACACTCAAACCAAACGAAAAAATGTCAAAGAATCTAGGTTATCGTGGTATTGAACTCGATATACTTATATACAAGGAATTCTACTCTATTCTACTATTCAAGATTTTTGTTTATCGATGTGAGGAGTTCAAGCTTCTCGAGGACTTTGGATAGAGCACAAAAGAGATGAATTGGATAATAAACCATTTTACTGGGGGGGGGGGGGGGGTCGAGAGATCGTTGCACAGTGTATAATAATTTTTGTTGGTTTTACATTCCATATAAATGATATGACCCTCTATTCAATGCAGTTATCATTGGACAAACACTAGACTCTCAAGCCAGAGGTCAAGATCCAATAATGTTAATGGAATATAAGATTACTAGCAGGACCCGCGGAAAATCAGTGGGGATTGTTGGGGTTGGGGGTTGTAAATAGATATATCTGCATGCTATCGAAAATAAAATTTGATTTGATATGTTGTTGTAGATTTTTTTTTTAAAGCCAAATGTAACATTCATTTCTTTTTCTTTCTTGAGACGTTTTTTTTTTTCCAGTTCTTTTTACTTTTTACTTTAAATCTTATTTCTCTTCTTTGCACATTTACCCCCCCCCCCTGCTCATTCGCCGGCTCGCTAAATATTTTCTCACATATTGGGCCCCCACCCTCGCTGCCGGCTGGATCCGTCCATGTTGACTGCGCCATTTTGGAAAGGCAAGAATAACCTCTTTCGTTCTTGTACCCCACCTCTACGATACAAAAACCCTCTTGTAACACTTGACTTCCGGATTTGAAATGATAATGGCTTCAAAATAACTTGTTACACTTAACACAAACCTAATCATATTTCAAGCTAAGATATGCATTTTTCATTTCATATAAGTATTCAAATAAAGTTGATGATATTTATGTCAGATTTGGAGGAAAAAAAAGTGTTACAATTGTCCTCGGTCTCCCCTATTAATGCAAGAAGCAATGCGTGTTTACATGCCAATAATTTTGCTATAATGCCACTTTCGTAGGAGAAGGTGTGATAGAAATGGAGAATACAGTCATGTATAATACATGTCTATATTAGGATGAAGAAAAAATGTCCGTCGAAAATTCGTGACCTCATAAAAACTGTAGGATTTAAGGCAAGAAACTATTATGTTCTTCATTATTTTTGCGTTCGTATATATATATATATATAGAGAGAGAGAGAGAGAGAGAGAGAGATAGAGAGAGAGAGAGAGAAAGAAATAGAAGGGGGAGAAAGTAAAGTGGATGAGTACAGGCGCGGATCCAGAGGGGGCCGAGCGGGCCTTACCCCCCCCCCCCGGCCTAAAAAAAAAAGTTGTAAAAAAAAATGGGACCATAAATTTACCTCTTTTTTTGCTCAAGGAGGGAGGTGCTCACTATGCCCCCCCCCCCCCCCTAACTGAGCGAAATATTATCGGCCGGCGCGATTTTCGAAATTCCGGGAGCAATGAAAGAAAAAGAAAAATTAGTGCTCATTCAGCAAGAGCAAAAAAGATGTAGTTGCCATTATGTTGCCCAAGCATGCAAACAAATATTTGAAATTTTATGATATTGGCAATGCTGTTTTTTTTTTTTTTTGGGGGGGGGGGGGGAGAAATGCACATTTTAGATAACATATACTCTTCAGAGGGTAATGTCAAAACCTATATCACTTTCAACAAAGCGGAAGACACAAATACTGCATTTCATTGGTACAAGGCATCTGAACACAGTAACCAACTTTCTTTAGTAACATTTTATCATAATTTGATCAAAGAGGTTTTAAGCTCAGGCGCGGATCCAGGATTTCTGAGGGGGAGGCCACAATTTGAAATCAATCTGAAATTAGTGTGCTGAACTTTGAAAATCGCGCAGGCCGATATTTCGCTCAGTGGGGGGGGGGGGGGTGAGGGTGGCATAGTGAGCACTTTTTTTTTTACTCAACACCTTGAGCCAAAAAAAAGGTAAGTTTCTGGGGTTTTTATACTTTTTTTGTGGCCGGGGGGGGGCGTTTTTTTTTTGGCCAGGGGGTGGGGGGAGGCCCGCTCGGCCCCCCAGGATTCGCGCCTGAGTAAGCATACGTGTTGTTATATTGAATCTAATTAGGGGCGCTGCGCCCTATATAGTACCATTTCCTCTCAAGCCTCTGAAAACAGCGGTAGGTATCTATAAGTTTGAAATATTCCTTCTATTTTAAATATGTATAAAATAAAATAACCCTGCCTTATTGTTGTTACTGTTGTTGTTTTTGTATTTTCTGTTATCTTATTATTTGTTTTAATTTATTTCAAACAACCGACGTGAAGGAAAGTTGATAATAAATTTTCTTGCATGTATAATTCTAATCTTTTTAATTGCCCTAGGATCTACAATCCATTCACGAATTTTGAAATTGTCATGATTTTATACTTTCAGGTGTTCACGTAATATATTTGCTTCGTTCGAACATAATAATTGTGAAACTGTAGTTTAATTATCTCTCTTTCACTCTCGCTCTCTCTCTCTCGATCTCCCTCCGGCACTCCCTCCCTCCCTCTCTCCCTCCCTCTCCCCCCCCCCCCCTCAGATCGGTTGAACTTTTTGTAGACCCCTCCCCAGGATCAACTTACATGTATGTGCCCCCAAAACATAGATAGATTTTCCTTTCTTTATTTATTTCTTTCATGAATATTTACATAAATTTCTCAATATAATAATTTGTTAAAATCTGAACCGATCATTGCTAATAATCAGAGTATATTTTTATCGATTTGAAATTGCTCATTGAAATTTATTATTCTTATTACGGCTTTGTTTCATTATTCACTCTTATTCTTTATTTGTTTTCTGTCATATGTTACTATGTATTGATGTTTTCGATGATGTTTATATTTTTCAAGTAGTTGTATCTTCATATTTGTTGCATTTGTTTACAGGGCCCCCTCCTGGAAAACAGTACTGTGATTACTGACGGAGCTACCATGTTTAAATAAAACGGAATAAATTAATAAATAAATATCAAACTCTGGCTACAGCCCTGCTCCCCTCTCTCTCTCAAAACTGATTATTGACAGATATTTCTAGATTTCAATTTTCTATTTATATTTTGCAAGAAGGCACCATAGACAAAATGATTGCACCATGGAGATATATACGGATTGCACCCACTGAACTAGAATATAGGCCTATTCATTGGATATTTTCAACAACAGAGGGCGACAAATGCTCATCATTCTTTCTTTTCGTGTCTCGTAATCGCAAACATGGTAGGGATGAAACAGAGTTGAAATTTAAATCCTTAAACATCCATGCCTAGAAATTACATTTTAAGAATTTGAAGTTACGCCAATATTCATTGTTATATTTAGATTGTATAATTAAGATTATGGGAGTGTGTGAAAGGAAAATATGAAGATGAAATTGCGATGATATGATGAAGCTCCGTGTATACATTTTCGGGTGCCTCAAAACACTACCCGGATTTGAGTACATCGGACCAACGATAATGACAAGTCGCCATTAGTTGGCAATTGTTCCGGACGCTGTCTGATAAAGAATACCATATGCCTCTACTCGAAATTGATAAGACCATGTGTTCCAATTATACTTGGTCTTTTGTTATTTGTCATGTTCTTTAGAGTTTAGAGTAGACTCAAAAATTGGTGTGTGCCCAGAAATAAAAAAAAATGTATTCATGGTGGGGGGGGGGGGGGGGGGGTCGTGACGTCATGATCGTGTGCCAGATATTTCACAGAAATATAATCCTATCAGTAGGGGCGCTAGTTCAAGGAATAACTATCATTCCCCACAAACTAGGATCGTCTTGTAAACGCGGACAGAGGCGTCTGCGAAATAAGGATCTTAAGGATCTTCCGCATTTTCACTTACGAATCTGATTTCCGATCCACGTGTTGGCGATGTGAAAAACAGGTTCCTGATGATTTTCTTGCATAATTTTACGTTGACTTTGTACTGAAACTTTCACGTCATGAGCGTTAAATCCTCGGGGAGACCGACAACCCATAAAAGTAGATGATGAACTTGGGGGGGGGCGGGATTTTCTTACGCAGAATCCGTTTTTTGCATCGCCAGCGCGCAGATCAGGAACCCGAAACCCGCAGAACACGTTTGAAATAAATGCGGATGATCCTTATTTTGGACGCATTTTGTCTGCGTATACAAGGATATCAGCGTTCATGCAGATGATCCTCATTCTTGGACTAGCGCCCCTACTGCTCATTTGCCTTTGAAAAGTGTGCATCAAATAGCATGAACTCTAATAAATATTTTCCTTTGTAATACTGTGACCTGTCCAACATAATTCATAGGTTGATTTATGAAAAAATTGAAATATTGCTTTTATAATTAAGTAAGTTAGATCTATAAACTTCTTCAAAATAATGTTTGAAATTAACTGACCAGATAACCAACATTTTTGTACACCCGGATGTGTAAGGCAAGTTGGACAGTGTCATCCACACATCGATATTTGATTGATTATATTTTGTTTTACTTGTTTACAGGCAGAAGTTGAGGTAAAGAAGAAGCGTACCTTCAGGAAGTACACCTTCCGAGGTGTTGACCTTGATCAACTCTTGGACATGTCCAAGTAAGTAAAAACACTTTTTAAAGATTCATGTTTGGTGAGGGGGAAAGTTACTATGAATATGGTTCAGAAAGAAGTGATGGAATTATCACAGTAAAGTAAAGCTCTACTCACCGATAGCAGCACTATGTCGAGAATGTATATTGGGGGTTGCAGATTCCTGCTCCTAGTTACATGGAGTATTTTACATTTGGAGGGATCGATTTGAAGGCCATTTGGTTCTGCTCGGCACATTCATGTAGAAGTTGCAAGTCAGTTTGAAACCTCTCTTCATCATTGGGTGTTTACCATCTCAGTTCTGAGTGAGCACTTGTTGTGTGTTGAGAAGTAAAAAAAATAAGTGCTTAAAGTCATAAACAAGCCAATGATGCTGATATCCTTCAGAGTATCAATTGATATACTCCTGAGCAATTATGACGGCTAAAAACTACCAACTGCTACCTGGGCACATTATCGTATTAAAGAGACGTGGAGATAATAGATTTACATGCCTTGCTCTGACTTGTTCATCCTTTTCAGTGAGGTCCTGAGCGAGCTGCTCCATAGCCGTGCCAGGAGACGATTCAAGCGTGGACTCAAGCGCAAGCCCCTGGCCCTCCTCAAGAAGCTCCGCAAGGCCAAGAAGGAGTGCCCAGCCCTGGAGAAGCCCGAGGTTGTCAAGACCCATTTGAGGAATGTCATCATCGTCCCCGAGATGGTTGGATGCATGGTCGGTGTCTACAACGGCAAGGTCTTCAACCAAGTGGAGATCAAGGTACTTTTTTTATTTTCCCACTTTGGAAAGATTTTGTATCAATGTATGGTGTTCCCCCAGTCACACAGAGACTGACTCCATGTCAAACAAAAACTTGAGCACCGATTCCCATGTATTAGTTTGGGATGAATTTGACTTTGAAAATCAGTTTGGTAGTGTGACCTTTTAGGTGAGGTGATGATTGTCGATCCTTTTCCGGGGTGGTATTGATTTATCATTCATAATAATTGATTGGAAAGGAGATTAGATTATATGGTTCTGGAAAAGAGAACATTTGTCACTGAGTCACTCTGTTGAAATATATGTAAATGCTCTTCAGGAAAGTATGTAAATTACAAGTTTAAACTGAAATTGAAACAAATGTCCTTACATAACAAATTATTTGTCATAGTTTTACTGAGAAGACTGTGGAACAAGTAGAGTAGAAGTGCATAAACAAGCCAGCCAATGATGCTTATATCCTTCAGAGTATCAATAGATATACTGCTGATGATTTCCTCGTTTCTGAGGTTGGCCAATAACAGATTTCTTTCCAGTTAATGAAGATTCATGTTACAAAATCTGTTTAGAGCCAGAAGGGCATTAACTGTGTAAGATGATTTTAGAAATACAACTCAACACCCTTTTAGCTCTTCACACTTGAAATATTCATCTAAATATTTGAAAGCCAAGCTGTATGTAGGCACGGAGTGAGGGAAAACCCATGTATTCTTGTGGTTAATTTTCTTGTTTCAATCTCCTCTTCTCTCCCTCTTTCAATATTTTCTTTCTACTCTTTTAGCCTGATATGATTGGTCACTACCTGGGAGAGTTCAGCATCACCTACAAGCCTGTGAAGCACGGTAGGCCCGGTATCGGAGCCACCCACTCCTCCAGATTCATCCCACTCAAGTAAACCATCAACCATCATCATCAACTCCTTCTAAAGCCCTCTACAAATCATCTGAAACCCATCCAAAATGTCATATGCGAGACATCAACAACAGAAAGACTCTCCTAGAAAGTTCTTGTTTGAGAACAAACTCTAATGGCATCCAGGGGCTAATTTGGTAGACCATATTTCACACATCCATCAGCGACTTTTTGTCTGCCACGTTTCAGTTTATCATGTTCAACCACGTCAATAAATCAATCTGCAGATATGTGTAGATACCACAAAATCTAAAGTTTTCATATTGAAGTGATTTTTGTTGAGATATGTCTTGGGTAATGTGAGAAGAGCGAGATGGTTGTAAGACATATGCCCTGGTAGTCCAGAAGACGGCCAATTTAATTTTGATCTCCACCACACAAACGCAATGCAACCTCTCCCTACTTACTGCCAGTACTAGCCAAAGATGGCGTGATCCTTAAATTAGGCGGGGCCATGATAGGGCTGGTGGGCGTATGAGTTCGTTGAAATGGCAACCATTGCTTTACGGTAATTTCTTACACTAACTAAACAAACGCAACACCTAACTTGAAACCCAACCTTAAAATCCAATTGCAATCCTAACCCTATCTGAAAGTACAAGTGTTTGTACAAAAATGATTGTGTTATGAAAAACGGAAAAGTGCGAGTGAGAGAGACTGAGATGGGAGAATGAGAAAAGAGGAAAGGGCAGAATAGAGAAGAACTCTTATTGTGTGAAATAGATGAGTAGTGTTGCATCAAACTTCCATGATTGTGAGAAGAGTTGATAACAAAAATGTCTTTGTCTTTAGTATGATTATGTGAAAAAGTGTGCCAGAATTTGCTCAGTAGTGATACATGTGAGATGTACACATTTGATGATACATGTAGTACACTAGCTATTGTCCATCATGTGTACTACATCTACATTATTTTGGCAATGGCATGCAAGTGATTTTTCGGAGCATTAAGCAAAACTATCGTATAATCGTTGGTGTTTAAAACATTGTGCATGTATATGTAGGCGATTCTGACAATGACGTTGATAATCCCTCAAGATTTTAATCTCCAAATTCCAAACGGAAGCAGACAAAATCTATTATGAATGGGTGCACTAGAATGGTAGAGAACAGAGATGTGTGGGGAAATGTTGCAATTCTTTGAGCTAGTAGAAGTTAATGTGATAGATTTGAGCAAAGAATGTGTATACTGAAAGAAGACTTTCGATAGCATGCTCAATGCTCAAAAGTATGTAGTTATTACCACAAAACCTTTTTATATTCCCAACGTTCCTCTCAACTGTCCCCCCCCCCCCCCTCTTTCCCTCTCGGTAACTCTTATCTCCCCGTGTCTCTTATCACTCATCTATCTGCCTCTCCCTCTCTAATATTATACCATGCTACCTCTTCCTCTTTCACTCTCTACATCCCTGTGACTCTTATAACTCTGCATCTCCCTTCCTCTTTTCCCTCTATCTCTCAGTTATTCTCTCTCGATTTCTGTCTTTATGCCTTCTCTACCTTCTCAAACAGTGATCCTTCTACATATACATAAATCTTTTGCACCCTTTAGCGAGGCTAACTGAATTATTTATACCCCTACCAAGCTTTGTAATTTCATGAGTACAGTATGTACAGAAAAATTGGTTTGTCTCGATTTATGTTTCTTGAGAATGAGACATATTAAAGCTTGTATACAAAAGTATTCAACAGAGGCCCCTAATTCATTCTTTGAGATACGGAAAGAAAAAAAAGAGCATCAAATTTACAAGGGGTATGAATAATTTAGTTGTTGACTGTATATAAGTTCAACGTTGCTTCTCCAATAAATCAAGTAGATTATTTCTTGGGAAGTATCAACAGTTGTTTATTCCTCATTTGACCTCGGATGAAAAGATAGACTTGATAAACTCATAAAGTCGTTTGATTAATACATTTTAAATTGTTTTTTCAAACTCAAATTCATCAACATTGCATACAAGTGACTAAAATGTGAGCTAAGTGCTCCTTTAAAATAACAAAGTTTTCAGTCGCAAAACTGCAGCTCCATATCATGGTAACATTCTCAGTTCTTGCACCATTCTCCTTACTTAGCTTGAGCTTCAAACATATAAAAGTATAAAACCATACAAATAAGAGATCCAGACACTTGTATCAATTCACATTCAAATCAGATTTATTTGTACAAATAATATGTATTTCTGAAAACACTCTGTAACCTTCTTCTACACCTTTTCCCATTCAGTGATTCACAAAAAGCAATTGTGACTGGGATGACTGTCAGGTCTATCTTACAGTCATAAAGCTTTCTCAACCAGTCATAATGATAAACACGTGAATTTCTTTTAAACAATCCTTTGATCACCAATTTTCAGGTCAACCCTTCTTATGTTGCAAAAGGTGCCTCAAACATTAGTGAAAATTCCTTTAAAGAATATGATGACCAGATATTATGCGGTGTTTGGTTAGAGTAGACATGTTTATTCTTCAACATTTTCTCCTCGGGGGAGGGGGGGGGGCTTCATAACTACAGACAGAAGTAATCTGTGATAATAAACTTGTTAGTTTCTTTCAAAGTGAGTGCAATTTTTTTCTTTGTTTTTTCATAACAAATATTGAAGAGAATAATACATGTAAAATTCATTGACAGAACAAAAGGTTCACTCCATTGCAATAAAAAAATATTTAATAGAAAAGCTAACCTCAAAAGCATGTGAAACTTTTTCAGTTTTTCTAATAAGGAGATCCATCCGCCCAGGAGATCGACAAATGATTGAACTTTGCATAAATAGATTGAAAGGGTGACCTCTTTTCTGTCTAGGAGACAATCTTTAAATTTCTATACAATAGAGATTGTGACATAATAGGAAAAAAACAGTTGAAGGTTATAAAATTCTTTCAAATTGCAAGTAGAAGAAGTGCCTCTTTATTTCCTGTACCACATGGTGATATTCTGGGCTCGTTTGATTTTCTTTTGCAGTTGGAGGACACCATAGAGAAGAGCCTCTGCTGTAGGAGGACAACCTGTAGAATGATCACAATAAAGAAAAGAATTGGATATCATTAGGTTCGGGTGACTTAGGCGTGCTTCCTCAAGAGATGCACTTTGATAACTGCATGTATATGTACCATGAAGTCTCAATATTCTAATCCTGTAAATGTAAAAAGTGCATTGTAGTTTTCTTTATAATCGAAAGCTATAGGCATAAACGATAACAAATAATATCTATTAACTACTAATTAATCCAAAAAGATAGATAATAATAATAATGGAAAGTGCTTGTATAGCGCATAATAATTTGTAGAATTCTCTATGCGCTTTCCTTTTTTGTTTACAATAATATACATTGCTGATAAAATGAAAATAAATGAGTCTTGCCACTGTTAAAAGGGGATATACAGCAATAAAGTCAACTACATGCACATATCAAAAATTTGTCATAATCAACTTGAACAGATTTCTGTATGTTTTACATAACAATGTTAACATGGTAACTAATCTAATATATTGTATATCTATTATTGGTAACTATCTACTTTTCATTCATATTTGACATCAAAGCATTGATGACCTGTCCACTGTGCGGTCAGAATAAGCAGTGTATCTACCAGGCAGTACAGGGTGGAGCCCGCTACACGCAGGCAGTCGTCACCCTATAGCAACCTAGTTATGAGCTCTCATGAAGGCCCATCAGTACCCTGCAGTATCATCATAACACATTTTAAAGCCCCACTGCACTACTTATAACTACTTGCGCTCTCCTCATAGCAAACAATGCCTAATCGGTGCCTGTTGGTCCCCCTTGATCCCCTTTTTCTTATAGTAATTGAGAGCTGGTTTGATGAGATAACCAGGGAGGTCTAATCACCCTGGCCAAACTAGTTCAGACTGGCTTTAACAGCCTGGCTTGACCTCGCTGTTTCAAATCGCTCCCCTATTGTTTATGTGGAAAATGAATTGAAAATCATTTCTGTAGGTCAGACATCCAACATTTTATGCCAATGACCTTCCCTAAAGAGTTTATCATTTCGTTCGGACTGCTCTGAGAGTGATAATTTTTTTAGGACAACCCACCAAGGTAATACCAAGGTAAATGTACTCATTTGAAGTGACGTTGGTGGCAATTCTCGCTACCCCAAATAGCGATTCTGCCGAGATCCGGGGAAAATCCTGAAAACGCGCATTGCATTATGGGATAGCTTTTCGACATTACAGCTTCCTGTGCAGGCGGCGCGATAGCGCAAACGTAAAACGCCGTCGCCACACAACGTGTATGCACCGAATATGTCGTCTGCTCGGTCTTGTTTTTTTTTCGCAAATATTTCAACGTTTATTTGAACATTTCATTCGTTGTTTTTTGCGTCTTTTGACATCAGTGACGATGGTTTTCTTTTGTGAGGCTGCACAGTGCTGGGCTCATGATTCCAAGCGTAAGAACCCTGAAAAATGGGGGTGGATGAAGGCCGTGACTTGGGATGGGACTCTATACCGGAAGTTGTAGTGACGACCCGAGAGAGTGAAAATTACCTCGTCTCGCGAATTTCGAGATTTTCGTACCTATTTAGGGTAGCGAGAATAGAAGGAATAGAGGGAAAGTCCACAGTGTTTGATTCACAAACCACAACAATTTTATTGTTTCGGGTGTGACCAGTTTTATAGTTTCATCTTAGCAATATATGCATATAGTCTATCGTTATCATTACCATGGCGGTCTTGACCAGGACCCCGTCTTAAAAACAGATGCGATTAATCGCAATATATTTGTATTTGATATCAATCGCAATTATGTACATAAGAGATAGGAGGCTGTAAACTTGTGATTTATTGGAGGACTTGCAAATGATTTGGATCAAACAACTCTTTATAAGACGGGGGCCCTGGTCTTTCGGATGGTGACATTAAAGGTACGTCCCCAGACGTAAATAATCCTATCTGATTTAAAAAAACAATTACCCACACACAAACACTTCTATAAGTTCATGAGGTGTTCTATGCATACCTGGAACGTAGATATCAACTGGTACGATTCTGTCACAACCCCTGACAACGGCGTAAGAGTAATGGTAGTAGCCACCTCCATTTGCACAGCTGTAGGAAGAAAAAAGAAGAAAAATTATTCTCAAAGAATAAAAACAGTTGGATGAAGTACATTGTAGATATGTACAGAGAAGGGTCATGTCAAACAGTAATGAAACTTATGGAACAATATCGAGGGAGGGGGAAGTAGAGAGAATGAGATACAGGGAGGGAGACGCCATGAGGAAGACAAATCAACGATCAGATGAAAATACCTCTTTGAAGACGCTAGTCAACAATAAATTCCTCTGTTTACAATTGGTCTAAAGTAATGATTGAAATTTGGTTTTGCAGCATCTCATATAGTGATGTAGGAGGAGCAAAACATATGTTGCAGGTTCGCATCAAGATGACACATCCTTTACCCTTGCATTACTTTTGTCAATAGATTTTGCTGAGGTATTAGCATGAAGGGTATTATGTACTGGAACCATTTTGATACCAGAGGTTCATTGTTTATAACAATCTAATCCTCCTACATTGACCGGTACGAGATTCACAATGATCACAACTTGTTAGTTTGGTTATTTACTCCTACAATACACAAGTACTCTTTAATGAGAAGAAAAAGAAAAAAAAGCTTTAAAAAAAGTTCTGTACTTCAAATCTTAGCATTCAAGAGAGATATTAACACTCAAACTTGAACTGCATAACTTTTTTTCAAGGAGTTTAGCTTTGATTCTATAACGGTTATTAATCGTTCCGTACCTTCCCATCGAGATCACCCATCTTGGCTCAGGCATCTGATCGTAGACCTTCCTCAGAGCAGGAGCCATCTTATTGGTCAGGGTACCGGCAACGATCATCACGTCAGACTGTCGAGGGCTGGCTCGGAACACCACGCCAAACCTGTCCATGTCGTACCGGGGAGCAGCGAAGTGCATCATCTCCACAGCGCAGCAGGCGAGGCCAAATGTCATGGGCCAGAGTGAACTCTGCAGGGAAATGGGAATCACTCATTGATTAAAGGGGCAAAACTGTAAGTTGAAGTCAAGAATCAGGGGTGATATTGTAACAAGGAACTTAATACAGATTTGTGCATTAAATTTGATTACATTACAAAAATTGCCTATTGTTCAGAGAAATGAAATTTGCCCATTTAAAAGTGACTTTTCTGATAACTCTAGTAGTCACTGTATAGGTATGGTAACGAAACAATGTACATTCAAGATAGCACAGGTTGATGTACATGTACAAGGAAAATGAGAGGAAAGAAAAAACAGAGATGACACTATGAACATGACCGACAAAGAAAGCGGACAAAATATACAGTTCCTCAGGTAGACAAAGGAACATCCCTTCACTGCTATTATGTAAAAAGGTGAATATGCATGTGACACCTGCTCTACACATTTTACATAATAGCAGTGAAGGGATGTTCCTTTGTCTACCTGAGGAACTGTATATTTTGTCCGCTTTCTTTGTCACTCATATTCATAGTGTCAATAAGGACACAAAAGAGATGATCGGAGTTAAAGGGGAAGAGAGAGGAAAAGGGGAAGAGAGAGTGAGAGATAGAGAAAGAGAGAAGGGGGGGGGGGTGATAATATCACAGTGTGCAGATATGAAGGTATTATTTGAGAAAGAATGACACATTTTTTAAAAAAAGAGGATAGACTTACCCTCCTGGCCCAGTTGATAACATCATCGGCTTTAGCTACCACAAAGTCTGCTGCATTGTTCAACTTGAATCCATCTTTCTTGGCTGGAGCTGCCGAGGTGCTTTGATTCCTGTATGGTACCAGACTGGAGATATAGTATTAAAAAAAAAAGATTATTATGGGTTATTCAATAATGCTCCCAATACACCTTAGGTGAAACAAATTAAAGGGCAATCGAACTCTTGTAACAAATTCATTTGTACAGTATGTGTAGGTACTCGAGGTATGAATTCCAAACATAATAGATTAGTACCGTACCTAAGCTCACCAAATTTAAACTCCTCCTAAGATAGCACAAGCTATGAATGTTTTTACGATGCGAGATGATATCCAATGGATTAAATCTGTATGAGAATTCCTCTTGGTGATAATTGCAGCTGATAAAACCCACACATAGGAGCATCACTATCCTGGCTGTGTGTAGTAAAAGCTGTGCTTTTGATTCTCAACATTTCAAACACCACAAAACTCAACCGATTTCACTCAAAATCGGTACTTTAGTGACAATTTATAACACCTAAATAGCAGCAAAATACATTTTTTTTAACTTACTGATGTTAAAAAGAATAATTTAAAAATTAAAATTGTAAGTCTAATGTCAAACTTTGCTTACAGCCGCATCGGCATGACTGTGTAGAGTCTATGCGATATTGTGTGGTGTGTGTATGGGTATAATAATACCCGCCTCACAGCATGTATGCAGTGCTAGAGGTCAATACGCATTAGCATTGACTCTCTATGCTTTGCTGGAGTGATAAAACCTAATGTAGTGCAGTGGTTGTAGTATACAGTTGAGTGTCGCTGGCATAAATTATCTTGCTTCCAAGTGAAGTCCTTTTACTAAGATGGTGCACAAGGAAAAAAAATCTACTAAATTGTGTCATGTCCTTTTTCCAGACTGTCCCTTGATTGGCCAGTTGTTGCCATGACACAAAAACATCTACTAGGGTACAGTAGTGAAGGTATTTCAACAACAGGTGAGCTTGCCTGATTTATATTCTATTGAGTCACAATGTTGAATAGGCTGACCAGCAGTGAACAAAAGAGATGATATCAAAAGAAATGTTGGTCTGTCAATTATGAAAGGCAATTAGTAAAATCAGCTGACAATTGTAAACAAACTGTGATGAAGTGCAAATGTTTTTAGAATTAATGATAAAATCCGCTACATATGAAAGCACAAAAATGAGCAGAAACAGAATGGCAAACGTTAGAAAAAATCATACCAAGCGAGTTACGAATGTTTGAAATATGAGGTCATAAGAGCTATGCGAATCTCAAATTGGCAACCACGTGAGTGGATTGTGACATAGTTACAGACAACTCTCTCATTCAAATAGTGATTACAACTTTCAAAATTCATAACTTTACTTTACTTTTTGCCCAATTTCGCTCAAACTTTCGCCAGTCTGCTTCTCTCAGGTTTCTGCTCTTAAGGTTGGATTTCCTTTTAAAGTTGAGAAGCAAACAGTGAAGCTAACAATGAAAGTAGTTGAGGTGAATCGGTACAAGAACAAACTCGATCCTGGTATTTGGGCAGGTCCAATAGCCTGAATCGCATGGATGATCAAGGATTTTTATGTTGTATTATAAGGCAAGGGCAGCATGGCCATTTTAATATTTGTGGATACTGTTACAGTTTAAACATTAATACAATAAGTATTTGCCACTTGATTAAAGGGGTTGATCAAGGTCTTACCTTGTGCATTGTGATTGCGTTTGTGTTGAAGCATTCTTCTGTTCATGAAGACACCTGATTGGCTGTGACTGGGAGCAGGCCGCCGGGAGGGTCCGTACAGGGAGGCCTGAAAACCTTCCAAGCATTGCCAGGCGGCTGATCATGGTGGCTGGAAATTGGGAAGAAAAAAAAAAATACAAATTCTAGTCATCACCATCATCATCATCATCATGATACGAGGCGAGGTAGATCCTGTAATCCTGTCACTTCTTCAGGGTTGGTTATGTTCTAGAGGTTAACTTATTGCACATGTGCAGATTTAGGATGGTTTTGATCATATCAATTTAACTCAGTTCGAATCGCTCAGACCACCAGTGCTTATCCAGTCTCATCTTGAAGATATCGATGGAGTTTGATTTAGTCTATTTTTCTGCCTTATCTTTTAATTCTTGCACAAATCAAGATTAATGCAAATTCCGGCAGAACCAACAAAAACGATATTGTGAACTGAAAAGATTTATAGACCTAACACAGAGTTGGATTTTTACCCATAATTTCCTAAAAGAGGACCATTAAACACAGCGAAGAGAACCTATGCACGCATTCATAATTGCTGCGTACTTTCTCTTCGCCATGTTGAATGACGATACAACATGGAAGAATCGTCAGGGTAGGATGATCGATGAAGAATCACCCCCTTTTTCCCATCGAAGACTTCTTCAAATTATAATTTCAAGTGGCCTGCGGGATGCTCAGAGGAGTCGAGCAACCTAGTAAGTCAAAACTGTAATTACTTGGTTTGCATATTTTGAGAAAATGTCGCCCAACCCGCTGTTTGAATCGCTTCCAATGCAGCCTCTGAGCTCTGAAGCGCCGACGCCTTCTGCGTCGGAGCTTCCTGGAGTTAGGTCCAAGGCCGAGCAAGCACTGCTGCCTGCACTCATTCTATGTGCAGTGCATTCATTCTGGAATTTTAAAAAAGTTATGTAGATCGCAAAGTCAATCTCCAATAACCATAATATTAGACATTAAAAATACATTGAAAATGAACAAGGATAAGATTTGAATTCATTCGTATCCCACGACAACGAAAATTATTACAAAGATTCAGCATTACACATTAAACTAATAAAAATACGTCAAGAATCTTACCCGAAACAGCCATGTTTATCTCTACGTCTCGGCGATTTTGTAATACTATCTTTACCTTATCGCAGATGGCGCTACACTTTGTTGTGAAGAGCTAGCTATAATAGCCATGACGAAGAAGATGATGAATAATGGCTGACGACGATGAGAATAATAATGCATTCATGACGATGACAATATATATTTAGATAAGGGATGTCACGATAAATAATTAATATACTGCGATAAATAATGTGAAATGGACTAGAGGAAAATGAGTAGGTGCGTGTGTATGTGTTTGTGTTTTTTTAGAGGACCGGGGGTGCCTGAATTGAATCAACTGAAATGAAAAATAAAAATAAAGAAATCTTCACTTTAGAAATTTATCAAAATGACGTCATTCTAACGCAAAACCTAGGGTATGGACATTGTTTTCGGTTTCGGTTTAAAAATAAGTTAATTTAAGAAATACAAATTTAAAAAACCTTCAAAATATTCATTTCTAAATAAATTTTTGAAAAGGGGCCGCTCAAAAGGTTCAACAAGTGTATGGGTTTATCCATAGATTATAGGTAAGAATTTAAGACGGTACTGATTATCTATAGAAAGTTGCTTAACGCATGAACTTGATACATAATAAACTATCGGTATAAAAATAATTGTCTGTATGATCAATTTTCACCCCCCCCCCCCACACACACACACACACCACCACCACCACGGTCCACCACCACCACCACCACCACCACCACCACCACGGTCCACCACCACCAGCACCACCACCACGGTCCACCACCACCACCACCACCACCACCACCACCACCTGCACCACCACCATCGTGGTTCCGACACTGATGATCAGACAATTGTTGTTTGAACTGCTTAACTCTTTCCATAAGGTGGCTGCCGGGCCTCATTTATCTACCGTTTGTATGAAACGAATGTTCTTTGTCTGTATAATGTCTAGGTCTGTAGAAATCTCTTCCACAAACACTTAAATAGCTCTTGAACATATCCCTTAAAAGCTTCCCATATACTCTCACCCACTTCAGAGTATTTAGCTACACACCAACAAGATAAACTGGAATACGTGTAAGCTTTATAAATAAAAAAAATAAGATAAATGTTATTTCCCTTAATACAAACGAAAAGATGTACACTTTAGCCGCTTCAAAGTAAATTGGTGGGAGAAATATCATTGGATGTTAGTGGCAAATAGTAAGTGACTACCGCTGAGAAGAAATTTTGGACCGGTTATTAAAGATGAACATCTTTAAAACAAGAAAATTCCAAATATGACATAATACGCCAATCCAATTCTATTTCCACGGCAAAGTATGAAACCATATTGATTATACCGTAGTTGTTGCTTTTTAGCCATGAGAAATGTTTTTAATATATTCCGCCCTCCACATTTACTTTATTGTATAAAGTTACATTATGTTTGACTCACCTGGTTACAAGGTGTTGTTTTTTTTTTCTTTAAACAGATAACAATTGAAGGAACTGCCACTTAATAACAAATTTTCTATACGTACCAGGTAAATGATAAATATATCTTTCATTCTCATAATATTGAACAACTTTATTTTTCATTACACCGAATACAGGAACCGTGTTGCTCAACTTTTCTGAGAAAATATATTGCCTCATCAATGTTACTATGCAACCGAGAGTATCATTTCTCTTTTCTTCAACTCCAACAAATGATATTTTCTCTTGTAAACTCAATCTGTAAACGTGTGCGTTCATATATCCATATAGTGTTGTCTCATTTCAAATCTTTTTTCTAAATTCCGATCCCCCCCCCCCCAAAAAAAGTGCACAATTTCTCATAACTTTCTTTTACAAAACGAACATTTTTCGTATAAAGTATACAATTATTTTGATATGCGAAGGCAATAAGGGGTCTAATAGGACATTTATCACATTTTTTATATCCATATAATATACTGGACGTTTTTATCGGTAGGATAATGATTCAACTTCAATCCAAACTGTTTTAACAGTATTACTTGTTTACCATTAGATCAATCAAGACAGTCATTGATACATCTGATACCTTTTTCACATCAATTATATAAAGTGCTGATTTGTTACCAATTTGAATAAGATACAACGAACTTAAACGGAGGAGAGAAATTCTATTCGATATTTTTCTCTCCCTCTACCCTTTTTTAATTTTCTCTCCATTTCGCTGTCATGGTCGTGTCTCTCCCTTCTGGGAATTCTAAAAACATTATCATTGGTGTTTCTTGTGTTTCGAATATGAACTTGTGACATTTTAACTAGTTTTTATTTATTAGAAATCTATTTCATTACATTTTACATCACATTTTACTCTGTTTACTATTTTAAATTACAACATAAATTTCCCATCCACCTTGAAAACTCAAGTGTGGAAGTATATCTCTCTCTCTCTCTCTCTCTTTCTCTCTCTCTCTCCCCCCCCCCCTCTCTCTCTCTCTCTCTCTCTCTCTATCTATCTCTCTCTCTCACACACACACCCTCACCCTCACTATGAACCCACCATCTCTTTTTTTCCTTCTCTCTCTCTCTCTCTCTCTCTGTCTCTCTCTCTCTCTGTCTCTCACTCACTCTCACTCTCATTATAGGAACACACCCATCTCTTCTTCTTTTTTTTTCCTTTTTTTTTTATCTCTCTGTCTCTTACCATCAGGCCCGTAGCGATGGGGGGGGGGGGGGCAAGTGCCCCCAAAAAAATTCCATGATCGGTTGAACTTTTTTAGACCCCTCCCCAGGACGTCGATCAATTACATGTATGTGCCCCCCCCCCCCCCCCCAAAAAAAAACAACAAACAAACAAACAAAAAAAAACAAAAAAAAAAAACATCAAACTCTGGCTACGGCCCTGCTTATCATGTGAAGACATTACATCAAGAACAGCTTCGGGGCGCCGTTACAAGAACGCGCGATGGGGAGAAAGTTAAACAAGTGACGTCAAAAATCCCACAATAGAAATAAATACAAACGCAATGACAAGTGTTTTCCTTTGTCATTATACAGCACTCTCGCTGCCAACCAGTCCGTTATTTATTTACTCTCTGTTAGTACTTACGGAAAAGAGGTAAGTCAAACGGAATCGCTTGACAGTCAGTTCTTTTCGAATCTTAATTCCAAGCAACCGCTTCGAAGTAAATACACTCATCACCGGTTTGGTTGCATGTTCTCGCGCGACAGAGCTATTCGCAAGTTGGTGACAGTGATCTTGTTTTGACTGGTTTTACTTGCGCAGAAGATGATTTTCGTTCCATCTTTGATCAGTCAAGCAGAGGATTCAGGGCCAGACGTCGCCATGGCATTGAACTCAACAAGGTGGTAATCTTCTAAACCACCGGCTAAACCATAAGTGACAGTTCACTGCACTGATCGTTGAAAGTTTGATCCTCGCTGTAGCATTATGCAACGGGAATGGACTGTGAAATCACATTTAACCCTTGGAATATAGCTGCTTTCAAATATAAAATCTTTTGGAATTTTAAAGTAAAAGTTACCTAACTTCTAAACTAACGTAAATTTTGCAAAGGAATATAATTTAACGAAATTTCACATTGATGAAGTCAGTTTTATCGTTCCTGTCTGCATGAATGTCGGATGGTGACTCCTATTTTATGAATATCCATTGATGGTAAGTACCGTACTTCTCCCTCTTCCTCTTCTTCTCTTTTCTATTCTTCTTCTTTATCTCCTCCTTCTAAGTTCTTCTTCTTCGTCGTCGTCGTCGTGGTCATCATCTACTTTTCTCATATCCTCTTCTTTTTCTCCTTTTTCTTCTTCATCGTATCCTACTTCTTCTTCTCCTTCTTATTCTTTTTCTTCTCTCTCTTTCTTTCCTTCTTTTCTGAATCGTTCTGCTTGTTTTTCCTGTACTTTCTTTAACATATGGGGCAAGGGATGAGCATGCATTTAGACAAAACAAAAAATCCCTTCCTTTTTAAAAAGCAAAATGAACATTATTTAGATTAATTACAATATTTAACACGAAATATTTGCATATGCATTATTTTTATATACGAGAGATTTTCGCGAATGGCAATTTTAATGCCCTAATTTGGTGAAATTAAAAATTTGTTTTAATAAGTAACAAAATCAACCTTTTTAAACTACATTTTTAAGCGATCAACTTTCTAAAACCGTGACCATAAATTGTAGTGCTGTAATGTGTAAAGCAGGGCTCCCACTTAGCCGAGTTGGAGCCTCGAGTTGTGGCGAGCTGGCGCGATCTTATGGCAAGCAGTTTTATCATTAAAACATATTTCTTGATATCAAGAATTAAATTCTTGATATCACGAAATCGAATTCCTGATATCACGAAACCGAATTCTTGATATCAAGAATTACCATTGCTTTACAACATAAAATTATTTCTTGATAACAAGAATTTATTTATTGCATATCAATTAATAATAAAACGGCTTGCCATAAGATCGCGCCAGCTCGCCACAACTCGTGGGTTCCAACTCGGCTAAGTGGGAGCCCTGCTTAAAGCAGGACAGTATTTCAAGTTGCTGAATTCAAACATTATTTCTGGACTAAAAACATATACAGGGGGACAAAACCGATTAATACACCACAGGGATTTAAGAATAGAATTCTTGAGAAACAAAATGAATAGCTTTCGATTCAAATAATATTTATGTGTTATTTCAGTAAATAACACTTGGTGGAAAAGGGGTATTCACGTACGCTGAATCTAATCACAAAATATCTGATTTATTATCCTCTGGTGGTATTATTCATTTTAAGAATATATACATTTAGATGGTAAATATATTATGTTCATGAAAATTATAACAACCGAGATCTATATAGAGTGCCATATCATAATAATTTGGCCTAGTGTGTCCAGATATTATTGGGGGAGGGGGCCGCATTGGCATCATGGGGGCCATCAGTCTTACTCAATGAATAAAATGCCTTTTTTTACGACCACCGAGCAGGGGAAGGAAGTAAGGATGAGTCCTACCATTTTCCGTTTTTCGTCCTTCCCCACGCTCCCCTTCCTTCTTTTGTTAAATATCTCAATTCCCTTTTCCCTGTTATTTCGTTGTTCACCTTTCGATT